GGGGGGATGTTTAACTGGCTGGAGCCCATGCTCCTAGGAATGTATCCCTCTTTCAAGGAGTTTGCCCCTGAGCAGATAAATTTGTGAGAGATACAATAATTGCAAACCCAGAAAAACATGGTGCATCTTCAGATAGTTTTTCTAGATTAGTGATTTCTGACTGGAATGCAATGGATTGACCATAGTGAAAGCTAAACTGGTCTACAGGTATCTTAATATACAGCACTGAGAATTCAGTGTCATCTGTTACATCCAGGCAGGTCAGACACTGTGTCAAGTTCTTGGGAACAGTGATAAGGAGTGCCTGTGTCCATAAATCCAAGGAGTTCTCAAACAGAAACATCTGAAAACATGTTGGCATGTCTGCTGCCAGTGAAATACAGGCAGACAGGCAGGGATGGATTAGTACATTTTGGATGGTTCATTTTAATGATGTATACTTAGGGAAGTTTTGTTGTGATGTTTCATTTGTATTTGTTAAATTCTCAGTTTCTGAAAGTATTTACTTCTGTTACGTGATTGTGCTGGGGAATGCCTTGCACGTATAAAGTAACGCTAATGTAAATTCTTCTCTGTTTGGACATGCATTCTGGAAATTAAGATTAAACTGTTTTGTCTGGGTGAATATTTGTAAATGTTAAACATTTTTAATTTAAACACTTTTCTCTACTTGAACATGTGGTATGCAAACTGAAGCCTGGGTGGCACACTGCCTTGGGGAAAAGGGGTCCTTAGTCTTCACTATTAAAAACCAAGAATTTGGTTTCAGAGCTTCATGCCTTGATGCTTTTGTCAGGGGAAGGGGATGGAAAACTGCAGTGGTGTCTAGTCTTTTCTGAGCTTGAGGTAAGGAGGAAGAATAGGCCAGAAAGAAAAGTGAGAAAATGCTGTTTGTAGACACCTATTTCTACTCTGTGTCTGCTCACCCTCACACATGATTATGTGCTGTCTTTGTGCATAATTCTGATCTCTCCTTAGTAACCTTTACCTAGGGCAAATACTGCAATTTGGTCTCCAAGTGTGCTGCATAAGGGACGATTCTCTGATGGGCACCTCAAAAGGCAAAGGTTATGTTTAACCTAAGTTCTAAGCCCTTTTTCTGAGCAAAGGCTCATGGATTCTTCTGCAGCTTCCTTAGCTTTTTTCAGGTTGCGAGAGGTAGAGTGTGTGGATTGCATTGTTTTCAGGAGAAAAGCATCATAATGTCTGCTTGGTCTAAAAGAGACAATGCTTTATCTTAATAACAAGAGGCTTCACTACCTATAGCACTTTTCCTTCAATAGAGGGACTAGGATCCTACTGGGGCAGAGATTTTGTCTTTAAATTCAGTTAATGACAGTAATAATTCTCATGTGGCCTCCACTGCTCTGTACAACATGAGAGAGAAGATTAAAAAATACCCAACAAGAAAAACTTCACTGGAGCTAAAAAGCAGTGAGTTGTGTGAAAGATAGGAATTTTTAGTGCCTAAATATAAAGTAATAGGAATATGTTAAAACACAGTACTGTATGTACTGCTTTTAAAAGAATAATTTCAATTTGATTAAGAAAACTACAGTTAAATCAGCCTTCTGAATGTTCTGGCTGTCATTTTCTTCAGCCAGTATAAACCTGCCTTTCTGGTTTACGAAGCCACAGTGCTAACATGTAAAGCAAGATGTTATGACTCATTGAAACAATTATTTGTTCTCTCTTGAAAGAGTTGCTGATGGTATTTTCAAATGTACTTGGGTTTACCCCTAAGAATGCAAGCCTTTCGCAAGTCTGAGCTTAATGCAAGGCAGATTATGTAATTTTTGCAATGCCATGTGATGTGAATGTAATCCTGTTAATGTCTTTGATAGTTTTGGTTTCCAGCTTTGCTGAATTTTGCTGTAATTTTATCAGGGGAAATAAGCTGGTTTATCTTAGTTTGCAAAACTTTGAGCAAATGAGGTAAAAATGTGTTTCAGAACTGAGAAGTACCTACTGAGGGATTCATCAGCAAAACTACTTTCTTGACTCAACTTGAAGATGTAAATTACTTGCATAAAACCCTGAAATCATGTGGCTAAAAATGAGAACTTCAATTGAAAATGAGTCTGCAGTGGTTTCACCAAGGGTCAGTGTTTTACCTGGGCAGTACTCACCAGCACTGGGAAAATACAAGGTTAAGGAAGGTGAGGTTTGAAGTGTGTGAGGATATGTCCTGGCGCACATCCTGGCTGTTCCCTTGCAAAGCACTTCTTTGTGTTGGGCAGGCTTTGCTGAAAGATGTGAAAAGAACTGGCAAAGAGGGCTGTGGAGACTACAACGTGCAGTTTGTTTTGATTGAGGGTGACCAAAGCACTGAGCTGCTGCAGAGGTGGAGAGCCCCCAGCCATTGTAAGCTGGATGGGTTTGCTCAACCTTTCCTCACAGCCAGACCACCTGTTTCTGCAGGACCTGCAATTATTGAAGTTTTAATAGAGGTGCATCAAAAGAGAAAAAATTAACAGGCATTTATGTTTTCTCTAAGTAAAAAGCAGTTAAAAAGCATTTTATATTTGAAAGGAAAGAGGCTTTAATTTTAAGCAAACCATGTCTGAAATCTGTGTGTTTCCTGGGGGTAGCGTGCCAGCTTTAGGGTCCATGGAAGGAAAGCTGTCCCAAAAACTACATGTGCGGTCCTCAACTGAATGAAGCAGACTTCCAGCCAAGAAGGGCAGTTGTATTCTAAACTGGTGCAGAGTCATCTAAGTTGAGCTTCAGTAAGGCTTAAGCTTCTTTGATTACTCCCAGGGTTGTGTTCTATTATTGTAAGGTGAAATGGGAAATTGACAGCTTCATCTTGGTGGCTCAATCAGTATTTCTCAGTGCTGCTTAGAAAACCAGCTGATGCTGTGAATAATGGTGGTGATCAGGCAAGGAGTGGAAAGCTCACTGAAAGCAAACAGATTTGAACTTCACACAATCATAGAAACTGAGCAAGGCTTGGGTGAGCACCACTCGATATGTCCTGTGAGCCATGGTGCAGGCAACCCTCTTTATACCTTCTGCAAGGGTTTACTGACCCCACTGTGGTTAATGGTGTCAAAAACCATCGACTCTGAGTAGCAGATCCTTTAGTCTGAACTGTTCTCTGAATGTTTAGTGTCCAACTGGAAGGGTTGCAATCATTTATCTGCATGGGCCAGTCAGGGCTGCTTGTTTATTTTGAACTTCTCTTGTGTCTGCTTCTAGAGGTGCTTGTCCTAGGTTCCCAAGACATTTTTGTACTGTTTAAATGATGATGGAAATAGCTAACAATGCTGAAGGTAATTTTCCTTAAAAGACACAGAATCATTCAACAGTCCAGTTAGAAGGGGCTCATCAGGATCATCGAGTCCAGTATATGAATGATGAGATAACAATGTCCATTTTAGTGGGATGTCTCCTGTGCTTCTTTTGAATGACAACTGATTTTAAAATAAAACTAATAAGGACAATTACTACTTCAGTCTTAAACCCCTATTGTCTAGTAATCAAACCTTTATTTTTAGTATTTTCTTAAGGTGTGTTTTGTTTTGTTCCATCTTTTTTCTGCACTGCTCCTGGTAGTCACTCTACAGCTTGTCTTGCTTTGTTCTCACAACCTGAGTTCAGCTTCTTGTTGATGAAACAGATGATAAAATCACTGTTTTGCTCTGGTTTATCTAACTTGATGAATTGAGATTTAGTGAATTTCTGCCTACCTTAATTATGTTTCCCCCCAGATTTCCCTCTGTTTTGTGGCTGATGATTAAGGCTCACTGTACACGTTGAAGGAGTATGTAATTGAAGTTGCTTGATGTAAACAACCAGCCTGATGGATTTAGACAAAAGAGAACCTTTCAAGTACACCTCCTGCTTTAAGCAAATATATAGTAAATCTGGTGAATAGCATGGATATGCAATTTCCAGCCTACAAGAGATGTTTACCTTGTCATGGCTTGCTTAGCGTGTGAGTGGCCTCCTGAAATTGTTGTATTGCCTCTGCTCATGGGATTAGATATTAATCCTGATCAAATGCACCTGCTGAAAAAAAAATAGATCTTAACTGTTGTGATGTGATTGATACTACACTAGCAGAACTAAGTTAAAGAACTTTTTAATCAGTATTATTTTAATTTTGGAATTATCTGTTCATAGGTTAGAAAGTTAAATTCCACGAACAATATCTCACAGCTTCTACTTTCTGTTTCTTTTCTCTGTGGTGATTTTACTACATTCTAGTAGTTTATAAAATATGAAGCAGTTAAGCAAAACCTAATTATGAGATATGACCATATTTTCTTATAGAATTTAGGACTGTAATCATCAAAGGCTCTAATTGATTCTGAGCGGGGGGATCATTCTGTGTAATTATTCTCCATCTTCCTCTTTTGTTGTTGGCTGCCAGGCAAACCAACAAATACAAGGCATTCAGGTGGAAGTGAGCTTTTTATAGACCATTCTCAACAGCACAATGTTGCTGCAATATTGTCCCCAGCATTGTTTGCATATACTGCTGTACACACTTAATGAAGTGCTATTTAAATTCAGGGTGTTGGACTGCTCCCCCTTCTACTATCAAAAATTTTTTTACAAGAAAACAAATAAAACCTAACCTTCTTTACAAAGATTAGTAACAGAGAAGTTAATGATGTACAATTTAGGTCTTAAGGGCAGTTTTGCCTCTTGATCTCCATTGTCAGAATTTGAGTGACAGGTCTGTACTGGAAGGGTGAATGGGATTTGAAAAATGCTGTGTTCACCAGAACTGTGGGGGGTTTTTTTGTTTGTTTTTCTTTTGGCATTGTGTAACTACTACCTTCCTAACAGTATTTTACAGAGTTATTTCTTAAACATGTAAAATATTTTCATCTGTACTGCTGAAATTTTTGTTAAAAGGCACTGGGAACTGCCCATTTTTTTTTTTTTTTTTTAGTAGACAAAGCTGGTTGAATGCATGAATGCCACTGCACATAACTGACAAAGGCAGAGCATCTTTGTGAATAGGCTCTGTAAATTCTTTCCCACAGAAGTCAACGAAAGGGTCGGTTGTCCTGGGCTACGTATTTCGCCACTTAAACCTGGTGGAAATAGATTACTTTGGACTGCGTTACTGTGACCGAAGTCATCAAACGGTGAGTAAAAACACAGCAGATTGGATTTGCCACATATAAATTTTACCCTGTTGTGCTGTTTGCCTGTAAAGCATTAGATTGTCATACTTCCCCTAACTTTCACTGTTTCCTGGCTCAGGTTTGCAGTAATAATTTCTTTTGTTTGCAATAAAGTCTTGGAATAGCCGTTAACATCTTAGATAGGAATGGAATCAAATGCTGAATGTTGTTGGAAACTAAATTAAGAAAGTACAGATAGTAAACACTTACCTTGTGAAAGTAGGATTGATATTTTTTTCCTCTTTAACACTGTGCCCTGAAGGCAGTGCCTGGTGCTCTGTGCTGCTCAGCCTCACTTGGCCCTGCAGTGCCTGGGAAGCAGCATCCCTGGGTGCATCACTGCCTGCCTCACTTACTGCCACGCTGGCTGAACGCTTGTTTCAGGGTGTGTTGGGCAGTGCCATTTTCACTCTGCCTGAACCATCTCTGTGCCCCCGGGCACATGGTCTCCAGAGCCTCCTTGACAGGGACTCACCCCACATCTGAGGCTTTTTCTGCTGGGACATTACTGTCCTAAGCAGATAAGGAAATGTTTCAGCTGGGCTGAGATGTTTCAGCCAAAGCAGGCAGTGTCTTGGAGCAGCACTGTCTGCCCCGCCAAAGGCTGGTGCAGGATTGCTGCAGGCAGAGGTAAGGAGCAGGGAGTACCCAGCAACAGGAACCAGTGCTGTATTCACAGGATGGTCTTCATACTACCTTGAAATTATGAAGGGAATAGTGCCTTGCCTATGGTTAAATTAAGTCAAGCCATTACAGTTTGGAAGCCAGTGTTTGTGATGATAACATAGATCCTGTTTCATTTATATATAGAAATAACTTACTGAATTGGCTAAATATTTGGCAATTATCTTCTGTTAACCAGAAGTTGATCATATAAAGACTGAATTTAGACCTGTATTAAGCAGAAGATTACTGATTGCTACTGAGAGCTACAGACTGCCCCACTTCCTGTATTTTAACTTCTGTGCTGTAGTCCAGAAATTGATGAATTTAGTTTCTTGATAAGCTTCTAACCATTCAATTCCATGAAGATGAAAGCCAGATTCAGCTGTAAACTAAAGGTAGACTATTAAAAACAGTGATTTTGATTTCCTGAGGAATTTGAGGTGTGAATGAAGTGCAGGTAGGTATTTTTTGCTCTCAGAAGAGTTTTCTTTTTTGCTGTGGTTGCAAATAAAATAGAAATGGCTATTCCTGGGAATATTTCCAGAAGCGTACACAGGGTATATTTAGTGGTGTATATGAAAATATGAATATTAAAGGGGGTTGCACCTCTATTGCGAAAGGGACACATAAAAGCACTTTTTAGGGCACATCCTTTTGTTCTGCTTTTTCTCTCATGTCGTGCTCCAGTGGTGCAAATTTAATGATGGCTTTACGCTTTATCCTCTGGCCAGCCCAATGTCAGGAAGCCACCGTGATTCTTGATTTTACCATGGATTAGGAAGGTGTTTATTCCACTTCTGCCATTTGCCTGCTTTTGCACCAGCACTGGCCTTTGTCAGGTGGGTATGGGACCTCAGCTGTGTGCAAGCCCATGAGGTGCTCCTGCCCTGCCATGTAGGTGCTTCCACAGTGATTGGCCTCGTGTGTGCTGCTGCCTTTGCATCTGGGCCCTTTTGTGACAAACAATTGTGAAAAGGCCTGCTTGTGTTGTTTGTCTGTGTAAAGATAATGAAAAGTTGAAGTTCCTTCACCTGGAAAGTTCATAAATGAGCCAAACAGTGCTACTGTGTGTAGTTTTATGTGTTTTATGATGTGTGGTTTTATGCTGCTAGCTTGCTATTTTTAGTGAAATCTTGTAAGCTCTTAAGAATGGTCAGTATAATGGAAAGTTTTCACACAACAAACACCTTGTGTTTTAGCTCTAAGCATATATTTAGTTGCAGGCTGTCTGTGGCTAAAACTCTCTGGGCTGTTGTGGGAATTAGTCCTGTAATGGCTGGCAAGAAGCCTAGATCTGAATTTTGTATTGGATATTTTTTGTGTCGACCACAGTAGATTTCCTAAGGGAAGAGGAAAAAAGGTTACCTTGCTACTAGTTTTAAAATCATGGTCCTGAGTTAGTCTCAGAAGGAGAAAAGTGGTTTTGGGGGTTGGGCTACCTATTAATATATTGCTTATTGTGGGGAAAGTTTTATTATTTGTACTGTCAGGGTTTTTTTGTCACACTGTATATTTAACTGAATGATGAATAAAGTAGCAAAGTAGACAAGGCAATATATTTTAAAGAACTTAAACCAGTCCCAAAAGAAACATTTTTCTTATTAAGGGTTTGAAAGGGCTTATTTATTTATTTTTCCCATCACTCTTGCATGCCTCAGCACTTCCAGGTGGTCTTTTAAGGGCTGTGTTGGTAAGCTACCTCTTATGTGGGTGGTATCATAATTATTTTAGTACTGCTAGGAGGGCTCTAATGAGTGAACAAGGTTTCACTGTGCTATGTAGTGTATATGAATGTGTAGCATTAAAATGGTCTCTTCCTGAACAGCCAGGAAATTAATCAGCCTGTGAGAAGCACTGGATGCAGCAAACAGATTGACAGAACTGAGTAGCACTGGCAGGGAACATGAGCAGTAGGATAAAGCATAAATTGGATGACCCTGTCTCTAGGGTGGTAATTTGGTCACATTACACAGATTTTGTTTTACTGACATTGCAGCTTTCCCCAAACTCTACACAGGAAAAGGACAGTATTCAAATGGAAAAATCAAGCTCTGGAAGATTACAAGTTGTTGTCAGAGTAGAATTACTTATATCTACTTAGTGCTCTGAGCAAGGCAGGTCTCCAAAGGAGCAACAAAATTAATCTTCTCATAATTAGTTAAAATACAAGATTCAATAATGAATTAAAAATTCCATGATATGAAACCACACCCCAGTGAACCGATGAGTTCAGCTAATGCAGTGTGTTGTCAGGAGTGCTTCCTAATCTCTCCCTTGGTGCCTCTGTTGACAAACTACATGGTGCTTCTTCTCATGTGGTCTTTGAGTACCTTTCTTTGTGGTACAAATTCTTTAAAAGAAAGACCAATTTTGTTTGAATGTCCTCAAATCCCTTACTGTTCTTCATCATGTAACCTTCACCTGAGCCTTTTGCATTACTGCAGGGAGTGCTGGCACAGTGTAAATTGATACCAGATACTGTCCTCAATGTTGGATAGACAGCTGGGTCTTCCTGGAGAGGGTATTTGTGTCTTCTGCCTCATCTCCCAGGACTTTGCCCCCCATCTACTATTTTCAGGTGAGACACAATCACCAAAATATGTGTAGCAGAAGCTGAGGGTGACGTAGGAAACTCTGTCCAGAATCACAGACTCATTAGGGTTGTAAGGGATCTCTGGAAATCACGCAGTGCAACCCCCCTGCCAAGGCAGAGTCACCTGGAGCAAGTGACACAGAAACACATCCAGGTGGTCTTGGGATGCCTCCAGAGTGGGAAACTGCACTCTCTCCCTGGCCAGCTGTTCCCGTGCTCTGCCACCCTCTATGGAAAGAAGTTCTTCCTCACATTGAGGTGGAACTTCATGTATTTTAGTTTATGGCCATTGCTCCTCGTCCTGTCACTTTGCATCACTAAAAACAGTCTGGCACCATCCTCTTGGCTATCTTGGAGATATTTATTTGCATTAATGAGATCACCTCTCAGTCTTCTCTTCTCCTGACTTAACAGGTCCAGCTCTCACCATCCTCATAAAAGAAATGCTCCAGACCCCTCATCATCTCTGTGACCCTATCCAGTAGCTCCTTGTCTCTCTTGCACTAAGGAGCCCAGAACTGGACAAAGTTTTCCAGATGTGGCCTCACTAGGGCTGAGCAGGATCAGCTCCCTCAACTTGCGAGCCACACTCACTACAGTCCCTTTGCTACTGCCTTTATGGCTTTGCTAGGGGTGTGTAGGATAGCCAAGCTGGTTACTAGTCTGGAAGAGTCAGTGTTTTCTCAAGGTACAGAAAGAGCAGAGATAGCAATTTAAATACATGATAGGTCAGGAAAATCTGAGCAGAATTTGATGAGGGAAAGGGTACTTCTGAAGTTCCCTTGTGAAATGCCAAAAGAATCATGCTACATACATAAAATACAAAAATACAAAAAATTGGCTGTGATGTAAATATTCTTATTCTCTTACCCGATATTGTGAATCTGAGCTGTTATAATCAGAATGTACCACATACTGATACCGTCCTAGGGCTCTAAGAGGAGAAATACAAGAAAGACATCATGATATTAATTCATATTGCACCATGCCCCCACCCTGTAATGTAGGTATGTTTTTCTCCCCTGCTAGGAGGAAGCTCTGTTTGAGCACACAACCCCAAGAGCACAGCAGGTAGGAGGTAACCCATGGCAATACAGGGAATTAATATCATATAATGTAGATCATATTTTGTCCTTAAAATCTTAGTAAAAAAGTCAAACTGTACTTAGCTTGTATTTTGTTGAACAGATTTTTTTCTTTTTATGGATTTTCACACTTATTCCCAAGCATGGTATACTAAATTATCTAGGAGGAAAGAGAATTGTTGTGTGTGTTAAATTAGATGTCATAACCAGTGGAAAGAAAATGGAGCCTGATAATGTTCAGTAGAAGCAAGACATTTTAGAAGAATATTAATGGATTAAAACAACAAACACAAAGCTGATGGTCAGGTGAATTACAGGTAGTAAGAATAAACTTTGAAAGTGCAGCAGGATCAGTTCACTGATAATGCGATGCTAACTATGATCTATATAATTCAGATTCTAAAAAGAAAATAGTGGCATTAAATACATACTTGTATTTAGGAAATGCCTGAAAATTGTTACATTTCTCATATAATAAGGACATGCTGTACTCAGCAGACAGGTTCTTTGCGCTGAACATTTGCAGGAAAAAATCTGACATAGCAATTCCAGTTCTCAGTGTTGTCTTAGGTTGTGGGAAAATCTCAATAATTTCATATTATAATTGAAAAGTGACATATTTTTTTTTCCAAATTGTGTTTCTTCCTGTTGTAAATGTGTTCAAAAACTGACATGTGTGGCAGGACAGGTACAGATTTGTAAGAATCTAATTAAGATGGTCCAGCGTTTAGTTTGAAGCTGATAGATCTTTCTGCACCAGGCACTTCATTGATTGATACTACAGCAAACATTTCAACCTAGTTAATATTTTGTTTCAAGGAGGTTCATGGAATTTGACCCAAGTTTAACCCTAGGCAGATACAAAAAAATTAAGATCCCAGATTTGTGGTAAAGTTCTTGCAGGCACTTAAAAGAGCTAAGTATTAAATACTGCATGGAACATGGATGGATGCTACTTAAATATCTGGCTTGTATGGGAGCCAGACTTGTAAATTACAAAAAACAAAAGGTCCCATTTATTCTTTATGCTGTACTTTAAAACTTCTTTTTTCTAAATTTTTTTTTGTGTGTAATTTCTACCTAAATTTTAAAAGGGAATTATTTTCTTCAATAACATTGTACCCTTTTAATCAGTCTTATTAAATAAAAAAAATTAAAAATAAAAAAAAATACTATATGTGTTTGTAAAGAACAATTGGTAAACTAGCCCCTTTAGTAACGGGATTGGTTAGGACTATTCAAAATTATTATTTCTTCTGTAAATGTTAAATACATCTTTTAGATTCACAGCACTGGTCTCTTGCAGTTGGGTGAGGAGGTGCTGGGTCCTCCAGCTCTCTGCAGCAGTGGTGAGCTGTTTGCAAGCCTGTGCCAGGGGGGCAGAGGTGGAAGAGCGCTGGGGAGTGTCACACTGTTTGCCAGGAGATGAAAAGGGCGAGGGCAGCGTGCTGGAGCTTTCTGGGCGTTCACCACTCTGGGGTTTGTTGTCAGCAACTGTGCTGTGCAAGTGCATTGGATTAATGAGACACTGGTTTTTTGTTCCATTTCTCTTGGCACTTCAGCCTGTCAGCTTGGGTAGTGTAACTCTACCTGACACAGTTTATCCATCTGTACAAGCATTTAACAAGTGTCTCACACACATTTCTGTGTGGCTGTGCCCAGGTGTGCTCACAGGGCCGCGGTGTCGGCATTCTTGGATCTCTAAATGATCTCATCTTTACTGTCTGACTTCGGCTTGAAAAATGCTTTAGCGTTATCCATTAAATTCCACTCATCTTTGACTTGCAAATAAAATGTTAGAAATCTCCCGCTCCCCACCCCCACCTCTTGCATTCCTCAGGAAAATTTTGGCAGCCTTTGAAATAATAAATAGCTGTGCGGTGATTTTAAGCATGAGTTTTTGCCATGGCCACAGTGCTAAATACTGGAGAAATGAAAAGGCAGATGAGATTCTTGTCTCTTTTCCACCACACTGAAGTATTTAATCTCACCTGTGCTGATCTCAAGACCTGTGGTACTCGCAGAACTAACAGAAAAATGTATTTTCTCATGCCAGCTGATACTTATTTTCACTAGCACAAGTAGCAGCGCTCTCTCTTCCAGGGATAAGAGTGCAGTTCCTCCAGTCAGCTCAGTATGAGGAAAGGAGAAGAAAAGGTTAAGTGATATGAATAACCAATTGTTCTGTGTTAATTTTCAAAGTTAAGTAACTAATTTCCATAATTATGTGTCTCGCAGTACTGGCTGGATCCTGCAAAGACCCTCGCTGAACATAAAGAATTGATAAACAGTATGTATTTAATTTGAACTTAAAGGGCACGGATGAAGTGTTCCATCTACCGAGTCTGCACAATATCTCTATTCTAGGCACAACAGATTTATAGTTCTTAACAAGTTTGTAACTGCAGTTCTTTTCTGTATCAAAATTTCACACATGGATGGCACATGGTATAGTTTAACAGTGTCATTATTGTCCAAAGACTTCTGTGTGCTTAAATTTTGTTTTAGGTTAATAAGTGGTGTTATTTTTAATTTGTATAATTAATTTTATAGTAGCTGTGATGCCTCTATCATGCTTAGCATACCATAATCAATTTAGAGTCCCTTCTGCTTCTTAAAGTAAAAGTGGTGCCTCCTACTGATAATAGATTAGATAATAGATTTTCTTCTATTACTGTCAGTGTTCAGATATTGCAGATGGTAGATCTGTTATATTTATTACAATTAAAGAATGGTATTTAGAGATATTTAAAAAAAAAACGTGTAGATGTGGAGAATGCATGAAATAAATATAGCTGTAAAAATTTTGCTACTGAGTTACCTGAATAACAGGAGAGTAATGTTTTTAAAAGATACATTAGAAGAACTTTTTCCAAATATTTCTAAATCTAATTGGTGCATAATTAAAAATGCTCCATAAGATACTTGGAAGTGTGGAAGGGATTAGTATTCAGCATTATTAGTTATTAAAGGGAGTTGCATTTCATGCACAACTGCATTTTTCAAAAAGCTTCAGTGGAAAAAAATACTTAAACATCAAAATCAAGCAGCAAAAAAATATCTTGGAGAAATAGTAATTTAGCAATGAAAGCTAAATTGAAGTATTTAAAATAAGCAAGAATTTAAAGTATACAGACAAGATGTGAATAATTAAAAGATTAAAAAAATAATAATAAAATCCTTTTTTCCCCCTCATGTGCAATGAGTATAGATGTATGGATTTGCTGTGTAAATGTAACATTTTTTTTTGAAAATTTCAAGTTTCATAAAATGTTCAGATAGGCTTCTTAGTAGCTGTTTTGTAATCAACAAATTCATACCAATTAGCAATTCATGACAACTCACTTTTACACCAAATTTTTTTTCCTGCAGCTGGACCACCATACACTCTGTATTTTGGCATTAAATTTTATGCAGAGGATCCATGTAAACTTAAGGAAGAAATAACAAGGTACAGTATTTAATAAAAGCATAGTTTGTTGATCTCAGGCTAGCAATATATTTCAGCCAGGTGCATATTGTTGTTTTTTCGCTTGAACATCTGAATGTTTTTGCTTGACCATTGGTGTGCAGGAAGAAAATTGTCAGTAACTTCTTAGTGGTTCATAGTGACAACTGTTAGGAAGCCCAAGAAGAAAAGATGTTCTACGGCACATGAAAAATCAAAGTGCCTTGATCTGCGTTTTTTTGAGTATTTGTTTTTTTTCTTATTTTCAGTAATGCATTGCTACAGCTGTATTTATACTATGCTATAACCAAGTTTAGAGTTTACTTGGATATCAGATATAAATACAGGGAATTTTCTTCTTTATTGGTCATAGCTTAAATTCCAGAACTGTTTTTCAAGGGGATTACTTTTGGTCTTACTAAAAATATGTGAAGGAAATTGAGGAGTTGCATGCTTCTGATTCTTTTACCTAAGCTTGTCCTCTGCAAGGTATGAGGATGCACACAGTAACATGTGCACATGCTTGCACACAGACACACATATCGTTATCTGAACTCTCTCACAGTTTTGGGGTTTTCTGTTTGTTTTATATATTTAATATCTTGGACAATTAGTTTTAGGTTCAAAAGGAAATTAGAGAATTTGGGTAGGTAGATGGACAAACTTAGCATGCTGGCTTGCACTAACAAATGTCAAAATATTTTTGATGTCCTAAGAATGTGACACATGCAGATTCATTAGAATGCATACAGGGTTTTCAATTTTCCTAACTCACAGGTTGCAGCACAGGTAGAATATTTTTCTTATTCCAGGGTGAGGAAATTCTTTTGTTTCCATATTGGCACAACAGGAATAGAAATGTCCAGCATAACAAGACCTGGGCTGGCCTGGTAAAAATAATAAATACTGTAACTTGACAGGTAAAAAAGCATAAGCTGGCAGAAATGGGATGCCCGTGTACTATGGAAATTTGCTACTGTTTTCTTGTACTTTTCCAGTAGAGCTTTAAATCCTGCCCACAGGGAAAGACAGGTGTCCTGGGAAAGGGAACTTTGGCCACAAAACCTATCGTGGTTGCCTCTTGGGAAGCAGAGTGGAGGCAGGGGGCTAAATTTTCACAAGTTCATCCTTTGCCCTGTAGCAAGGCCAGCCAGTGATCTGCACTGCTGATTAGGCATGCAAATCCTGTCAAGAAAGGTTGCAGTGGCATTAGGAAGCCTCTGGTCATGACTTGACAGCGTTTGGCCATGCAGAACTGGCACCTTGGGTGGTATAGAGGGACAGCCTAGGAAAATGATATGATGGTATTGTTAGTCTTCTATGAAACATATTGAATAGTCAACTGCCTTCAACATCTGTGAGCACTTATTACCATTGGCTCTTAAATCTTGGAAGGATGCCTGGTTTTTTTTTGGTTCAGAAAAATAACAGTAGTAGTAGTAATAGTAGTAGTAGTAGTAGTGGTAGTAATAATAATAATAACACCACCACCACCACCACCACCATCTCCTTAGAATAATTTGGGTTGGAAGGGACTTTTAAAGGTGCTTCCACTTAAGAGTCATTAAAGGCCCTCTTTTCCTTATAACAATAATGTTCTGCCGAACTGTGTAATTCCAGTGATGTGTTAAGTGCTTTGTGTTAATCAATGTGTTTCTTTGGAGTACGTATTTATTACTTTAATGAATGTGAGAGCTAACTCTGTTGTTATTAAATTATGATGATCTGTGTCATTACATTATTACTCTCTGCAAATAATGATAACCTGTCAAATTTGTAATGGCTTTGCAGGAGAATCTGGCTTGTTGGCAAAAGCTAACACTGAGGTGTTTGCTGGATGTGCTTGTTAGAGAAAACTTGCAATTAGGCACTCTAATATATGCATGACAAACATGACAGCATACAAGATGAGACTGCTTTAGCTGTAGGTATGGACAAAAGGCCTGTTTTTGTGAGGAGCTCAGCGGCTTCAGTGGGAATTGAGATTGTTCACCTTACAGGAGTCACTTAAGCAATTAACAGTGCAGGATGCAGGCGCATTTTGAAGGTTCCGATGCTACTTTAGTTTGCGACTGCAGAAATATAGGTACCTGCTCCAAGGAAAATATATTTCTAACATCCTCTCCTGCCAAGCTCTGCTTTGTAGAGGTGGAGAAATGCTAACAGAATATGGGTGTGCATCAGAAATGCATTTTATGTTGGAAAGATGATGTTGTGTACTCCATGGAGGATGTCAAATCATCTTGGTCATTATCATAGTTCATACAGGGCAGATTTGTCTAGGTAGGACTGCGAACATAAACTAGAAGCAGAACTGAGGTATTGCTTAGAGTGAGGACACATTGAGTGTCTGTGTTTGTGTTGCCCAGTGATATTCCCAGGAAATTCTTATGCAAATGCCCTGCTCCTCTAAGGTAGAGAACATTAACCATTTTTTAGAGGATGGACATTCCTACTATAACATCTGTCACAGCACACATTCTGGGGGAAATCATTAATCAAAAAGACATGGATGTCTTTATTCAGAAGCTCATCTAATAAAGTCTAGAAAATTTGGTTGGACATTAAATTTTCTGAGTCAGCTATCATGTAACCTGCAGTTTTTAAACTTCCCTGAAATCAGTGTAGATGCACTTTGAACTTACAGATCATTCCAAGGTGCTTTCATAAATTACTTGTACTAACACAGCATAAATTATTTGCAGAGTAGCTGAATGGCTCTATGTAGATAACATTGAACCACTGAATAATGGAAAAGCTATGTGGTTGTATGGAAGACCTTTTTTTTTTCTGTAAAAAATTACCTTAATTGTATTTTTACATGTTGTAGGAAATCAGTGCAAGAAATTTACAATGATTTGAAACACTGCACGAATCTGTTGTAATAGAACCAGAAAATATCCAAATAGTGTTTCAAGGATTTCTTATAAATCATTATGGGAAGTTGCAAAATTGCAGGTCCTTTGTATAATGGCTTGCTATGTTGTCTGTCCCATCTGCTTTGTGCATATTGATTCATTCTAAGTGGTCTCAGCTTTATCAAGTGTAGAAACAGGTTATGACTTTGAAAATTACATTTTCACCCCTGCTATCCCTATTCCAGGCAGGAGAGTACCCTGTGCTATGACAGATTCAGTTAGCTGCTGATGGCACACCCATCTGTCTTTTTCATGGGCTCCATCAGACCTACCTGCTGCATTGTAGTTGATACTCTGGTATGTGGAGAGGAAATATTTGAGTAAGGAAGGATCCAATACCCGGTCCTCCTTTGCACTGATCCAGTGATGAGGTTATACTTTTGCCCTTTGATAAGTTTCTTGTTCAATTTTTCTGATTCTTGTCCTCTTCCCCACTTCCTGACTGCTCTGTGAAAGTCAAAAGAGGGAAATGACATTCTAGGGAGATAATTAATTTCATCTGCACAATATAAGCATATTAGAAAAGTAGGGGAGTGCTCCCTTTCCTCTGTTCTTTCACTGGATTAATCTTATCTGTTACTTCATGGTCAATAGGGGAAATCATTTAGAGATGAATTCAGGCATTTACTGTCACATAGTTATGGTACATGCTATGTGCATTGCAAATGGGATAATTCTGAAATATTAATTGGACTTGAAATAACAACTTTGTTCTGTCTCTGTGTTTTAGGTATCAGTTTTTCTTGCAGGTAAAGCAAGATGTTCTACAGGGCCGTTTGCCTTGTCCAATCAACACTGCAGCACAGCTGGGAGCGTACATAATTCAGTGTAAGTTTTCCTGGACCACTGAGAGCTTCTTTCTTTCAATCCTGCACTGTGATTAATTTTAAGTGATGACTGAAGACATCATTAACACTTTATGCATTCATTTCCAAACAGAAATAGCCTGACTGATTTCACTTCAAGAGCTGTAAATAAATGACCATTCTGAATCGATAATGCAGGAGCAATATGGAAGTTAATGTAAAGAAGAAACTTTAAAGTCAGTCTGAAGACTGCTAAACATTTTCTTTGCTGGGGAGTATTTCATCAAGTACTCAAGACTTTATGATTTTGGATTACATGTAGAGTATGACAAAACCTTCATCAGGAGATTTACAGATTTCAAAGGCTATTGGCAGCCTCAAATCACAAAATCTGGGAAATAAAATATTATCTCAAAAATACATAATGTTAATATGAATGCATGTTTACTTAAGGGGAGGATATGATTCAATCTGAGGTGAAGAATTTTCATTTTATTTAGTATTTATCTACATTCATCCATCAGCAGAGATCTTTTCAGAAGTGGATGTTTTATCCTGCATGTTCAATAGAACTAGCAATCAATTAGAAAGGAGCTGTCTGTCTACTGGAGCTGCTATTCTTTTTCTATTAAAGCTCAAGATCTCTATTCAAACACAATCAGTGACCAAAAACTGTGTGAAGAACCATGCTGGAACCTCTATCTGTAATTTCTCCTGTGTTAAATTTAGATTTGTCTAAAGTGATATGTATTAAGGAAAGATTATTTGTATTATTAGTGTTACAAGTGTGACTCAACAACATATATATATAAATTTTACGTATTATATAAATATTATAATATTAATTATAATATTATTATTTAATATAACATAAAAAATAGTCCTCCTTTTATATCTCTTTTAGAATGACAAGCCACACAAGTCACAATGTGTGTGAAATGGGAATGGGCATAATATTGGATCTCATGGTGGATTATATGTGTATCTGAAAAGCTAAAATTTCAGGGAGTATTTATTTGTGTACAATTATTTTTGACTTAATTTTGCCATCTAAGAAACATGACATGTTGTCCTCTGAAAAATTGTTTGCAATGCATGTTTAATTTTACTGGCAGACATACCTTCCCAGAAAAAATACTGCAAGTGTGAAGCAGGAAAATACACAATGATGCATCTTCATTTAGCATCTTCATTTTATTATGAGAAATTAGTAAAAAGAGTGAATTCATGCCCTTTAGTAATTTTGTAAGGTGGTGAGGGCTGTTGTTTTGTTAAGAGTGTCCTGTTCCTCTATTTCTAATCTCAAATATTCTGTTGGAAAACAATGAGGAGGTTTATGGGAGAAAGAAGAGTTAAAGCATGGCCAAGGTTACATACAGTAAGTTAAAATTAGTCCAGGCACTAGGAGACATGCATTCCCATGGGCTCTATAAAAAAGTTTATATTTAGGGCTTGCAGTTATTCCAAATATGTAAAGACACCTGAGAAATGTCTGCCTCAGACAATGAACACATAATTTTTAGGGAGATTTTGCAGTGAGACTTTCAACATCCCTACTGTGCAGATCACTGTCTGTTTCTAGCAATGTAATTTCAACATTTTGGAAAGAAATAGCAGTAATTAGGTAAGTCCTTTCCACCTTGGCTCTTGAAGCCTCCTTTTGACTATGTTTTTGGCATAGTGGGCATTTGATAGAAAGCTCCTGTGAAGTCTTTCTCAGGGAAACCCAGTGTAGAGATATTACCCAGGGTTATAAAAAAATTTAAATACTAACTTCTGGAGAGTTTCTCCGATAGATGCAATTATAGTTAATATCATTAGATGTGAGTTCTGGCCAAGGTGCATATTTGTTTTATAATTATATTACTACATATGAACAGACATGACTAATGTGTACAAATTCAGGGTTGCTTTAAAGAAAATTTCAGAAAATTGGCTATTTGTCATAATTTTTCTTTAGGAGAAGTCCTTTGAAAGCTATTTTTATTTTAAAAGTGAATTTGAGATCCAGGAAACACACTGATAATTTATTGAAAAAGGAAAGCTTGTGTTTCTTCACAAGAAGCAGTTACCATTAGAAGTCCTTCCCTCTAGGACTCTCAGGATATTTACCTCCATTTGTATCCCCAGCTTAAGTTAAAGTCCCAGCAATAATATGGATTGGTTCTGCCAGTAATATTGCAGCTTATCATGAGAGCACAGATACTACAAAACTAGACTTTTCTTCTACACTTGTTTTGCATATGCTGCCAAGTAATGTCATGGAATTTAAACTTTGCTGGCTTGGTCAGAATTTTGTCTGGCCTATAGAAGCAGTAGGTTTCCAGTCAAGGCTTCTACCTCTTTCTTGCTCTAACCTTCTATGTATCTTTTAAAATGAGTGAAGACAATTTTTTTCTTGGTTTTATGTGTGCTGATGTGAATAGTTCTGTATTCTCTTCCTTTCCTTTTTTCCTTAACTGACTGCTCACTAAATTGGTCATCAGCTGGAAAGGGGTGGCTGGGCACCAGTAGGTGGATTATATAATATATTTTTTGTCTGAGAAACAGCACAGGTGACCTTTGTTTTCTCCTTGTGTCCTGTAGCTGAGCTGGGGGACTATGACCCATACAAGCACACGGCAGGTTACGTTTCCGAGTACCGCTTCGTTCCCGACCAGAAGGAAGAGCTGGAGGATGCCATAGAGCGGATACACAAGACTCTGATGTAAGAATTCAGTTCTGTTGGGAGCTTGGCAGGTAACAGCAGACTCAGGGATGCTACGTAGGTGGGGAGGAATAGCCTGTGTGCAGAGTGGAGGTTTCTAGACTTGAGGAAAGGACACAGGGAATCCAGTTATACCTCTCAGAAGCAGAAAAGATTTTACATATTGAAGCTGTTCTTTTAGGAACTGAGTAGGACAATAACTGGAAATGTGAGGTGTGTCAGACGTAGGTATGGGTGTTTCAGAGCCAGCAGGTTTAATAAAACATACGCCAGAAATTCAACCATACGCAGAGCCAAAATAAACATTCACTTGCTTATCTCCAAGTTCATGTCCCTGGTAAGTGTCAAGAAGCTTGTTCTAAGAAATCCATGTTGGGTGCAATTGAGATAAAACCATTTATGAAGGTGAGAGCCGTAAGGACCCTTTCATGACGGTGTTCATCATAGCCTTTGTCGAAGTAATGCAAAGAGAATCAGTTACCCATCTTGTGGCAGATCTAAATTTCTTGATTTTCGTGCTATAATGAAACCACAGTCTGGATAAAGGTTGAGTAATTTTTGCCTGTAGCATTGTGTGTTAATGTTATATATATCTTGTTTAATGAGAATAGGTATTAACTCAGGGTCACAGCTGTTCTCTGAAAAGTTTTCTAGTAACTGGAGTCTGTGCCAGTTGCCATGTTGACCTGAATTTTCTCTTCCAGGGAAGAGACTCTGTTGTCAGTAATTCTTTCTGTGTGGTCACATGACAGCCTTATACTAATCGTTACATTTCAGAGATCTTACTACATGTAGTTCTGTGAGTGTTCTGTTCCAGAGACAGGAAACTGAGTCACAGCTAGTTTGTTCGGTTCAACACCACAGAAGTGGTTTGTGAGAAATGACTTGAGATGAATTACTGTGAACTAAGCAGCCTCCATTTCCCTCTCTTAAGTTTCTGTAGTCATTACGTTGAGATGCCAGTGGCTGTGAAGGGAAGTGATCGCTGTAATAGCACTTACTGATCTGGAGCTCTGGTACTGTTCTGCTGCTTGGCTGCAGCTAGGTGTCACGGATTTAGCAGCATCAGAAGAGAGGAAAGTCAAGGTGTACTCATTGCTACTTCAGCCCAACTCTTACCATCTGCACTGGTGGCACAGCTAAGAAATTAGAAGCTGCAATGGCTGAGGGGATCCCAAATTGTCTCATCAATCAAGAGACATTTTAGGGACAGATTTGTGATATGGTATTGAAGAACTGTACTCTTTCTGGATCCCAGCTTGGAGACATGGGAGCTTTTTTTTGATATGTGTGTGTGTTTTTGTTGTTGTTGGTTTTTTTTTGTTTTTTTGTTCTTCAGCATTGCTGTGGCACTGCATATGCCTTCCTTCTCTTGGTTGTATAGAGAAAAGCTAGTTTTGGTTGCATGTTTCCTCTCAGTTTTTGGTTTTTTGTTGTTTTTTTTTTTTTGCACAGCACAACAGCTATTTGGAGATTTGGTAAGGATGCAGTTTTTTGAGAAAGTTTCTAAAGCAAGGAAGGTGAAGAAAGAAGTCAGACCGGGTTTCTGGCTCTGCAGCCTGCCTAGTGTGATTGTTGTCCCATCCATAAACCAGCATGACAGTTCCAAGGTCAGAGAGCAGTGTGAGGTGACATGATATTGTCAGGCACATCTGGAAGATCAAGCAGTGACTTTGGGGCTCACACATGAGGGAGCAAACACTTGGTGCTGGAGGAGAGGGAGAATCCCTCAATGTGGACAGGAGAGCTGGTGTTGCACTGCTGACAGTGCCCATTTCGGACTGTGGAAGATCTGTCACTCACTGGTGCTTGGCAAGTCAGCTGCTGCTGTGTTTTGAATCAACATTCCATGCTGCCAGTGGGGCACAAGCATAGCAAAAATGCCCTGATATTTAGCTTTAGAAGTAGCTTTTGATGTTGTTTAGGGCCTCAAGTGGCACGCAGGTGCCCTGTGTCCATTCAAAGGAGTGTGTGCTGTCACTTTGCCAGCTCTGTCATTCCCACTGGCAAAGACTGATTTAGTTTTGGGATGTGTGATGCTGAGGAGAGTTTGTGTTTTCAGACACGATAAAAGTGAAACACCCTTTGTGCTAACAGAGGTTCTTTCAGTTCCTGACAGTCCTTCATCCCTTCATGTTCTGATTTCTCCATCTGTTTTTGGGAGGACTTCTACCTCTGGCTTCCATCTGCTTCCTTCAGAAGCTCTAGCTCACATCTTTGCTTCTTTCAGTATTTTTGCAAATGCAGTTTTTAATACATGATGCATTACTGTGAAAGTATAAAAACATACTCAAACATTTATTTGACATTTGAGCCTTTTGGTCCTTTCAGAAGCAGGTGAGAATAGAGAAGTAAGTTCATCAGCATTTTTGTAAGCCTGGTCAGTAAGGGAAGATTAACAGCAGGATTTAAATTGGTGTTGTATTCTAGCACTAATTCAGTAATAGGGTAATCCACTTTGCTCAGGACTGATATTTAGCCTGCTTGTAAACTCAGTGAGACAGTACAGCCCCTGTGAACATTTCACTTACATTTCTGAGACCTACTTGCAAGACTTTGAATTAAAAATCAAGCTGCAGAGTAAATTTTTACAGCAAAAATGTATAAAAGATGTGACACTACGGATGTGTCAGATATCCAGTTTTCTGCATGTTCTGAATGCAGATAATGAATGACACATCATTTGAAGAAAGGGATTTCTCTTACAAGCTTCAGGTCTGCTGCTTTTCCAGGAGTCCTTGGAGAGAAGAGCACCTGGAAAAGTGGCAGTGCTGCTACACGGATAAGATGAGCTGAAGCAGTCCATCTTCCAGATACAAAGAAGGAATTTTAAATGCCTTTGAATACCTTTAAATATCCATTGCACTCATGCCAGCACTGCAGTTTCACTTCTTTGACCTTGGAAGTTCTCTTTTCTTTATCAGCCGTAACACAAAGTTGGGAAAACTTGGATGGTAGCTTCTAGGCTAGAGAGAATGGTGACACAAGAAGCAAGAACATGCATATTGCAGGACTTCTCCAGATCTTTGGTCAAGTTGTTGAATGTAGTATGCTCTACTTCACACCTTGAGTTTGAAAGGTAGCACATCCAGTAAAGTATTTCCCCAAGAAAATGAACAGGATGAAGCAGGATATCCATCTTTTTGAGCTGATATTTTTAAAAGATGTGCTGTAGTTTCCCAATAACAGTCCAGTTGCTTTCAGAGAATTATTGAAAAGAAGTGAAAATGAAAACATGGCTTCAACTATTTCAAGCTTACAAAAGAGAATTTTGTTCTTTTGTCTGTGACAGATATTAAGGGAGGAGCAAATTAAAGTCTGAGGACAAGGCTTTGAATTTATTTAGTTGTTTTGTTCTTTTTGAAAATAAATCCATTGTCAGCAATGTCAAATACGTTCCTACTAGCCAGGAGTTTTCCCTCACCAGTTTTCCCAGTTGCTTCCTGCTAGTGGTACTTTTAAACTGATGGATTGATATCTGTAGCTGGGAAGGCAGGCAGGATCTTTGAAATGGCTAATCTCATGAGACAGACTCCAAATCTTGTTTTCAGTGTAGCAGACCTGTGTACTACCAGCTGGTGTGACTTACAATAGGTAAGATTTTATGGAGAAAGTAATAATTTATCTGAAGTTGTGAACCTTGCTTTCAGGAGCTTCAATACCACTATGGAGAAATAGTACCCCAATGAGTCATACTATTTCTGCTTTATTAATAATAATGTAGTTTTTGGGAAAAAAATAAATTATTTTGCATATTGAAGCCTAAAAATGAAACGTGTGAAGTGTGTCTGTGACAGCAAGGAAAAGGTTATTACTGCACTAGGCAAACTCTATATGTATAGATAGCATTTATGTCTGTGGTAGGAGACCACCAGAGATCTAGTCTTACTTGGAGTAAGAACCTCAGTGTTGAAAACAAGATGACAGTCTAAAAAACAGGTAAGAAGGTCTGCATATATGTCCAGAAAACTATATTTATTAATATGATCTATTTTGATATATTGATTTGAATTGCAAGAGGCTTACAAGTAATTGTGTTTACAGGGGTCAAGTTCCTGCTGAGGCAGAAGTGAACTATTTAGGTGTGGCCAAGTCTCTGGAAATGTATGGAGTGGATCTCCATCCTGTTTATGTAAGTGTTAACTGTGAAAAATAATTACTGCACTAATGTGTGAAACAGTACTTACCATGGTTTTGTTGCCACAGGATAACTGGAAAGAACATAGAATACTACTCAAGAAATGCAAAAGAGCACACATAGTACAGATGGAGAGGATTCAGTTATTCATACATACAAAAGCCTATGATTTTCACATTAAATGCTGTGATTGTGTTATGCCTATAAAAAACAATCAGTTGTACTCTGGAAAATCAATTTAGATAGAAAGGAAATAATTTGTGCAAGTGTCAGGAGGCATGAGTGAGGGTTATCAACTTTGTATTTGAAAGAAGAATTTGCACATTATTTTCGTTTAAGTAGGAACAAGTGTGTCCTGAAACTTTTTCAATACCATTGAAAAAATTAGGGTGGAGTAGCAGTAGCATGTCTGGCTTTTTAAAATATTTGTTATCGAGGTTTTACTAAAGATCCAGAGTATGTTTCCAGTTTTTTCTCTGTTGTATCATGCAGCATTGCAAGTTGTCTGTATTGCCTCAGAAAACCCCTCCATTTCTTTTGTCTGTCAGCATGTATGTTGGGATTAGATCCAAGTCATCACCTGGAGGCTATGTGCTCCTGGAGGAAACATCATTCTACCTTGTTTGAATTATTCTGCTTGTGGCGGGCTTTTTTTTTTTAATAAAAGAAGATCAGGAGTTCAAATGGGGAGTGTAGTATAGATAGCTCACTGAGTTAGATGTCAGTACTTTGTAAAAGTACTTGAAAGAAAAGAAAGAAATCAAGATACTACTGAAGATTAAATATGTATTTCCTCTGAAAAATGTGTAGCCTGCAATATAAAGTACCTTTTAACGCACCCTATGGCTTAATTGTGCTCATATCCCAGGCTTTGTTCCCCTCCCACCCACAGAAAGCTGGGGAGTTACTGCAACAAGATCCAACATGAACCAACAAAACCATGTTATATTAGTACAGTCTGGAATTTTTTTGGCCTCATAACTTGCTTTTGTTGTGCAATGAAATCCCTGCCTGGGTAACCTGTGAACATCATTGTTTCTACTTACATTACAGCAGCTGCAGAAGCCCTCATTTGAGACTGAAGCTGCACACATGATGAGATGCAGTTATTTTCCTCTTTTGCTCATTTGCTCTTCCTTGCTGCCTCAAGTAGGCAGGTGAATTTGAAAGTTCAGTTTCTTTTCAAGCTGACTTTCTTTTAACCTCCTGCACTAGGGTTTTCACTCCTTCAGCTGTGAGCTGCTTCTGGTTTTGGTTATTGACTGTAAATTGGGGAGGTAGGGACCTTCTGCCACTCAGCAGCAGGGCTTTCACCCTGTTCTCTCCCAGCGCAATTTGAGATTTGTATCCAGACTTCAGGAATCCTGACATCCTTTCCTTCGGGGGAGCTGATGAATATGACTGTTCCCTGCATGCCATTGCCCTCTCGGAACAACAAAAAAGAAGCTTGGCTCTCCCAAAGGAGCTAGTTCACTTGGAGGCAGCAGCAGCTGACACTATTTTAGGAGTGGGAAGGCAGCTGCGTGGTTGTGTAAGTCAGAAAATCACTATTTACTTGCAGCTGAAAGTTGTGATATCTGTTTCATTCATGCCTGAATAAGGAGTTCAGTTTGTGAGTTTTGGCCCTTTGCCAATAGCAAAAATTAATTCAGTAGGAAACCAAAAAAACAAAGGTTTGTTGTTTTTTTTTTTCAGCATGGCATGAAATTCCCATTCTTTCCCTCACTGCCATACTTTCTTGTCTCTTTTCCCTCAGAACTACAAATTTTCATATAGTAGTTTTCATCAGTACATCAAGTACAATTTCCCCATTTGTGCAGAGTGATATTCAAGTGATCTACAGGAGTATATTCAAGTCACCAGGATGAATTTCTCACTGGATTGTACTAATACTGTTATTCTACTTACAACTGCATGAATGACATAGATTTTTATTTTCTAGGGTGAAAACAAATCTGAATACTTTCTAGGATTAACACCCATAGGAGTTGTTGTCTACAAGAATAAAAAACAAGTAGGAAAGTATTTCTGGTATGTATTATTTAAATGTGCAGTCTGCACTCAAACAATGACAACGTTATATGGAAGTCTGTGATTCGTGGTATCTACTTGAAAGGTTAATCATAGCAATATGAAAAAAGTATACACAGAATTCTTAATATTTCTCTGGATTATGTAGATTTCTAATTCTTTGATAATCCAGGTATTGAAAACAGTAGATCACCTTTACCATACTCATGCTGAAATGTTTACATATCATTAATTGTCTGCTAGCATCTGGGGCATATCTGAAAAATAAATCTACCTGTGAATTTTTTTTTTTGTCTTTGTATGGAAATGCATACAGCTTTTTATTTTATTATGCATGAAATGAAAAGCTCATAGAGTTCTGGCTGTCTTTCTTTCTCAATATTACAGGCCTAGAATTACAAAAGTTCACTTCAAGGAAACACAGTTTGAACTTCGAGTCCTGGGAAAAGATGTAAGTTTTTATGTAGGTCTGAAAAGATCAAAAAACAATTTTAGGTCTAATGAAGGTGGAAATTTAGTGTGTCTGTCAAAGTCTAATTTGCTTTATTGAAATTTACTGTATGAAACCAAATGTAGGTGAAGGGAATCTCACAAAGCTGTCAGGCACAGAACAGGCAGCCACATTATATAGCATGAAACCCATTTGTCAGAGTTTAACATCAGTTTGCTCTTAGATCATTTGAGAGAAAGTAATGTTGGTTCCAGTGGGGCAAGGACAGCAGATTGATAGCAAGAGAGGAGGTTTTAAGATACAGTAAATTAAAAAAAAAAAAAAAAAAATCCCTATAAATTATCCCCTATAAAGCATGTGGAGTAGGGTCAGGAGGAGACTGTTGAGAATGTAGGAAAAAATAATAAAATGTAATAATAAACATAGTTGGAGTCAGTTTGTGGTTTTTGCTGTCTGGTTTAGTTATAAGTTTAGTTGGCTGAATTATTTTTTGAAAATATTTTGTATGCCTTTTTGGAACATTAAAGTTTATAGTTTTAAATAGTATTAACCTGCTGGCAAACATACCCTGTACTGTTTATCTTTGTGTCTTTGTTCATCTTTGTAATGGTTGTCAGTCTCATCCATGGTTTTTCCATGAGGACATTTGTCTTGCTCCTGTTGTGGACAGCATTTCTTGTGTCTTTGCAGATGTCTTGACAAAACCTGCTTTTGTTAATCCCAAATGGCTTATTTATATTTGGTGTGGCAATCTATGGGAATTTTATTTCTGAAGGTGTGTTTGTTGAAATAGGAGAGTTATTTAAAGGCTGGGGGAAGATCAGGAAAACGTCTCATGGTGTTTCATGTAAAGGGTCAGTGATAGTTCATTGATACATGTATCAGTATAAGCAAGTCCAAGCTCGACTTGGAGTGATGCTGTAGCTTCTGCTTGATGCCACATTTCCACAGTTTTTGTTTCAAACAAGTGGAATTGCAAAGGTTTAACATTCTGAGTAGAAAACCTGGAAGGTTTTGGAAAAGTTGAGGCCATGAATATTGATGACTAGTGAACTCTTACCATTGTGATCATAAGGCAAACATTTTTACAGAACTTGGTAGTTTCAAGCCTCAACAGGTATTTCTAGGAAATTGTTGAAGAGAACAGTAAGTACAGGGGTGTGTACCTTCATTAAATTTGCCTTTGCAACTAATACTAATCTGAAGTATTTCCATAGCACTTCGTATCCTAACAAGATCAGGAGAGGCCAAAATGGCCCAGAAAAATCTTCTTTTTCCCTTTTTTAACAGTCTGAGGGTGCTTTGAACAAAATTATATATTGAAATAAGCAGACAGTAACCCCAGTCTCTGGATTAAAGTTATCATAAAAATTTATGCTGTTCTATGCAGAGGAGGAAAAGTTCATCAGTGCATTTGTATGAATATATATTCCAATAATCTTAAAAAATCTGATTCACAAATTTATTTTATTTCTCTTGTTTTTTTGGGATAAATGCTATCACTTTCTCCTCTCATGTGACACATGAATATCTTATAGGAGAGTAAATATGCCATTTTCACTCCATCCTGCCTCCTGGAATATCACTTTACAGCTCAGGGAATTAATACTTTACTTGTATCAGATGTGGTATACCAACTCTGCAATGTTTTGTGTGTTGCTGGTTAGTTGTAGAGAGCTCCAGAAGAGATTCAGGAGGAGTAGAAATAACAGGGACTTTCCATGTTTTTAAATTAAACTTTATGGCATAAAGTGAAGGAGCTAACACCATTTAATGGAGCAGATTATTTCTGAGTGAACCAAGTGCTTTGTGTGAATCATGTTTTCCATATGTTGTAAAAACTCTCTGCAGGGTGGGTTTTGATCCATGTTTCCACACATACCAGCTACCCTTATTCACACTGTCACCTTTCACTGCTCATGAAGGGGAACCTGTTGGTGTCTTTAGTACCAGCAAAGTGTTGCTCTTCCTCTCTACAGAGTTACTTGTGGTAACTTTAATGTTGCTTGCTGAGACTGGTGTGAAATTTTTCAGCCATGCCAGAAGGATCTGTGTATTTTCCACTAGAGGGGTGGAAATGGACATCCTGATCTTGACAGACAGCTGTCTAAATGTACAACTCCATGTCTTCAGACTACTTCAACCCCACACTCTTGGGTGTCTGTGTCAACCAGGGCTGTGGCTGCTCATTTTCTTGTTACATTACTTCCCTTTTCATGAACTTGATGTTTACTGAGCAGAAGTTGTTATTGCTTAGTGTCTTATAAATAAGCAAGTTGCTTTGGCTTTTCTGTTTTGCAGTGTAACCTTTTGTACTTCTTCATGTCTCTTCCATGGGAATAATTTCTGTATATTTAGCTACCTCATGTTTTTTTCCTGCACACCAGTTGCTATTGTGTACAAACATGGCCTTCAGTATTTTGGTTCTATGTTTCACTACTTTGCTTGTATTACATGTTTTCTCTCCAAGGCCATTGCTGTTGCCCCTCCATAAATAAAATGCTGCCTTTAATATTTGGCCATCCATGGACATGTGAGACTGAAGCTTTTTTAATCATGTGTTAATCATTGAATCAGTATTTCATTTGTCCCCTGCATTAACCCATGCTATGAATTCTGAGCTATAAATATGTTAGGTCTTCCCTGGCACCTCTAAGTAACAGCATGAAATTAGGAACCCTTCTCCTCCAAGGACCGCTCATGTTCAAATTCCCTGAATGTGACAAAAAATTGCCAAGAATTTTTGAAGATTAAGGAAGTTTCTTTCTCAGAAAAATGAGAAATTCATCTAATGCATGTGCAGAGTTTCTGGCAGCATGTCTGTTGAGCAACCTTGCTGGAAACAATCCAGAAACACAGGTGGCTGCCAAAGCTTTTTCCTCTCCACCAGCAAAACAGAACTTGATCACAATGGATGCTCTATGAAGGAGTGAGTAGTGGAAGGGGTGCCCAGTATATCTCCTGTGTTTCCCCATGTGAGGAGCATGGCCTGATCCCTAGTTTTCTCTCTCAGCTAGGGACATGAAAGGAAACAGAAAAAAACATGCTTTGATAGACTGTGTAGGCTGGGAATGTAAATGTAATAATAGGCAGGAATGAGAGATGTGGAGCCTTTTTGCCTGTAGGTACCAACTACTTTTGTTCTGTTCCCTGCACCCCAGTGCCCTTCTGTGTAACTGCACCTTTTACTTTAGCTCCTCTGTGTCTGAACATGCACATGAATGATTTCACTCCTTAGCAGGGTTTATGCAAAACTTCTGTTCTTACTTCTGTTTCACAAAACAGGAAGAATTCAATGTGCAAAACACTTGCTTTCATCGTTTTTGCTGTAAGAGAAAGGTCCTTTTGAGTTCTGAAATTTTTATTTCAAGACATCTTGAAATTTCGGTATTTTCAAGTCAGAACAGTCTCCCAATCTGTGCAGTTAAAAATTATTTACACGTTTTTCCTCTGCAGTCTTCCATATTCAGATGAAGAGGCCTCCCTCAGCTGAATGCACAAGGAGAAATTAGTAATGACTCTTCACGAGCAGTACCAACCACTGATGCAATTCTAAAGTACATAATCCTCCCCATTTTGTGTGGCTGAAACTTGTCTAAATACAATTTTTTTTTTGTTCTTTTAAATAGTCTAGAAAACACTACAAATGTGTGTTGTCTTTTTAGTCTGCTTTTCATAAGTGCGATAAGTCTGAAAAATAAATTATGTTAATAAGGTGGTTCAGCTGTACCCCTTCTTTTCCTATCAAATGCTGTATTCCATCCTGAGTTACAAGTTCCAGTCAGGAACTTCTAATTTGATTTATTGTTCCTGTAGTTTCTTGGGAAGATTGAACAGGAATTGAAGATATGTTACTCTCAGTCTTAGGTCCAATGTGTGTTGTATGAGTAGTTTCCAGACAAAAATAGAATTTTGATTTTTCTTAGGGTTTAAGAATTGCTAATGACTTTTGTATCATTTGCATTTGCACCCACTTAACTCAGAGTGATAGTAAAGGGTGGAGGTGAGCAAGCACGGTGATATTAATATGTCATATTAAGCAGTTTTGGCTTGTTTTGGTTGCTTGGGGGTTTTCTTGTCTTTTCTTACTCACTTCCTGAGCCATCATAGAAGGACTGAAAGACTGGTTTAAGGCCGGCATAAAATGAAATTCACTGACACTAGGGTGATACTTCAGCTTTCTTGTTTCCTAATTTTTCTTTAGTATTTTTGAATTGCTGTAATACACAGCTGAGATATGTTTGTTTCAATGTTGACATGCAACTGGTACAGCTTTATCAATTTTAATTCCCAACTTGGTATAATGTTCCTAAAGATTGACCTTGAGTAACCAGTAATAGTACATTGCATGTTATACAAGTTGTGATTTGTCTGCATATGTCAATATCTAAAGACAGAATACTTTCTATTGGAATTAACAGTTGATGGTATCCAGGTATGTGCCTAACCTGGCAAAGAATAATGTTATGAAGCAGTAGCTTCAGAGCCAGTGTTAATAATTCTTACATGTGCAGATGTAGCATGTGTACATGCAGCGTGCCCTGTGATGGAGCAAGGTCCCTCCTTATGTAGCATTAGCACCCACTGTGACTGGGAGGAGTGGTGTGTGTGCTGGCACAGTTCCTACTGTGGTTTTGGGCTTTTCTTCTTCATTTTCTGTGCCTGCATTGCTGGAAGCCCATAAATGTCTCGTAAATTAGGGTAGCAAAGCCTGCTCTGGATCAGTGATTCTCAAATAATTTTTGCTGTGTGGGTGGGTTCAGTGCTCCCTGGAATGGGTGTAAATCTACTGACAGTGCCTCTTATCCTGGGAATAATCCATGAACTCCAAGAACAGGGGGTCTTCTGGCTCCCAAATGGAATAGCTCTCATTTAGTGTGTGACTTCCAGGTGGAGCTGAGCTTGCCGTGCCTGGGAACTGAGCTAGCTGGGCACAAAGCAGCTCTGAGCCTGAAAGCTGTGTAATCAGGCTGGCGTGGCAAAGCAAGCAGGAAGCTGTTTGCCAAGCACTCTTGAACTTGTGTGCTGTTCCAGGGGTGCTCTGTGCTTAGGTAGAGCAATGTCGCTTCTGACTTTCCTCCTTCAAAGGATTTAGTAACATGCTTTCAGTCTTTCACTTGAGAGGTATGGGTCTCAGGGTGTAGTGCTGTTCTGAATCCCAGCTCTCTAGTGGAGGTCTTAAAGGCCCTGCCAGATCAGTCTTCTGGCTGGTCTGGAAGCCAGCATAAAATGGGGAAGGGCTTCAGTGTCTATCAGTGTGTAAGCTTGTAGTGTAGGCAGCTATCTGCATGCACTGTGCTAGTCTCTCTGCTCCTGTGGGTAAAAATGGTGGTGAGGCTCTATCAGTATGAGCTGTAGCATGTTTTGGAGACTGCGGGTTTTCAGAGCACCTAAAAGGAGAGAGGTATGTAATGCTCATCCTCACGTTGTTTTTCGGTGTGTGCCTTTGTCAGGGTTAGGAGGAAGCAGTCCCACAGCTTGGTTTTTGCTGCAAGGGTCCTTTCACAGCCTCCCGTCTCACCATCCCGCCCTCCCTTGCTCCTGCAATTCACAGATGGGATTGAAAATAACCATACAAAAATGAGTAGTTTTCTACTTGTTTGATTAGCAAAATGGGCTTCCTGAAAGAATAGACAAACACCAAGATGGTTCAAAGGAGAGAGATCTCTAAAATGTGCAGACAGCCAGGACTGCTCTGGAAACAGTTCATGATTTACACTGCCTCACCTTTAGTACACTGAGCACTCTGAAAGCAGAAGGATGAGTAGCCAGGAGAAGCTTGTGAGGCACCAAACAGCACTGAATGACTTTGGAAGTGACATTTCCTATAAATCATTAGTAAAATTGCAATCAGTCTTTGTTTTGTTTGGTTCAGCTATATGAGAATAATAAGCAAAACACCCAGGTAACACTGGTGAAACTACATGTATGAAATTGCAGTGTTCAAAATGCTAAAAACATTGTCTTTTATTGGAAAGAAAAGGTCATGGTTTTAACAGGTAAGGCCATCCTTACTTTACCTATATAAATCAATTCATTCCCTTGGGGGAGAAATGTTAAACCAGAAAGGCATTGCTGTTCTCAGTACTACTTACTTTTTATATAAGCATTTATAAATTGCCAGGGTAATCCCTACTCTTACAAGCTTTAAATAGTCCTAAAAGGATGGAGGAAGTCCTAAACCTGTCTGTGCTGTAAGCAGTGTCACACTGGACTTGGTTGCAGTAAGGTACAGAATCCTTCCCAGATAAGCTAAGAAATGGTGAAAAAATTATGGATTGTTTCCCTTTTAATGAGTGTTTTAAGCCTTTTTTCTTCTCTAATAAAATTTAATTGTGTTATTGAATTATTGCAAGCATCAGTTTTGAGGCCATTAGTTTTCAGACATGTTTTTTCTTCAAATTCAAATAAATAAGCCTGGGTGTGTTATCAGAAGGCTTATTGGTCTGTCCCATGATTTTTAGGCAATTGTTTCACTTCCCAGATCTGAGTTCCATAACGTTTTGGTAAATTGGATCTACAAGGTTATTCACTCCCCGACTCCCCTTTTTTTAACCCTGCCTGAGTGCCCTTGATTGCTGAATACTAAGTTTAGATGTTTTCAGCATCATCAACATTTTTCTTACCAGCTAGGGCAAACTTTCTTCTGTGTTAGAAAATTACGCCTTCATATGATGGAATCAGTAATTTTTGCTGGTCATATCTTTCTATGATATGACAGTGTAACTGTGTGCTCCCTTTTTTGTCACTCACTGATTTTCATGTGTTTTCATGCTCTTTGCTCTGTGTATGGGAAAACTCTAAAACTGTAACTTAAAGAAGACAAAATGGACAAATAGAACTTTTTTCCCCACAGGAATCTGTCACTGAATGCCAGTGGCATTCAAACTGGTCTAACAGTAAAATATGGCAGAAACACTTTATTTTAAAAATTGCCTTTAAAAAAAAAAAAATTAAAAAATCATACCTGGCTTCTCTCTGCCCCTCCCTTCCCACATCCCAGGAACTCCTTCCTTTGTGATTATGTAATTAAATAAATTTAAGTGCAACAGAAGATTCTTTGCCTAAAAGTAGGAGTGAACAAAGGAGGAAGACCCTGCATATTAAAAGTGAATCACTGAGTTTTTTCCTAACAGAAGCTAAGCTGACTCATCATATTGCATCAAACTTGCAATACTAAAGTCCAGTCGGATATTAACCTTTTGAAGATGTTGTGTAGGTTTATATGAAATCATTAGATGACAGTCTGATATAGAAATTGTAATTTAAATCAAATAATGAAATCCAAAGCTGCTTTTCTGCTATGTGCAAAATAAGCAAATGCAAAGTACCACTTTACATATTTTCTTTAAAAGTTTTAAAATGTAAAAAGGCATTGTGATTTTTAAGTGGGTAGACTCTTGTTTCTAGCCATCAGAGGAGAAAGAGCAATGTTATTACTCTGGAAGACTCCAAGATAAATTGGTTTTTCTCCTTGACAATTTTCAAGATTTTTGAGGAAGCCTTTACTTTTCATGAATTAAACTTATTTTTGCTTGTGAATCCTGCAGAGAGATGGTGATCCCTATCAAACCTGAGGGACTTTGGGAATATATTTATGGGACCAATGTACACCAAAGTCATTCTGTGATATCCCCAGCAGTATCAGATGAATTCTAAGTTTCAGCATCCTTGGTGTTTTTTGTCTTACTGTACTACCTGTATTCTTCTTTCTTGTGATAGAGAGTAAAATGTGCTTTTGATGGAAGACCAGAGAATTATTTTAATTCCTTGCCTATTCCATGGGGCTGTTCCAACCAGATATTTAACTAAAATAAGACATGGGAGAAAATAAGCTCATGTGTATATTTTCAGTATAATTATTTTTTTCTTGTCAGGGAATGAAATCTCTATTCTTCTAACCACAGGTGCAAAATTCTGTCATTTTTACTGTTACTTGTTTCAAGGTGAAGGTAAAGCTGCTTGAGGAGGTAATTTGTGGTTTTGTGAAGCTGCTTGACAACTACTAATAGAGATATAACTGGTTTTTTATTATAGGTGAAATTTTGAATTCTAGAGAACATAATTAATTGACAGTTTGCAAGGTGCTTGCAGATAATAATAAACAATAATAAATGAGGAGGGGTGGAAACTTGCCCAAGCTCTTTACTTGTGTGTGGATGGGACTGTAGGAATGTAACTAAGGCAAGGGCATAGATTGTCCGAAATCAGCTGCTGAGGGTTGTGTGAATCACACCTCCTTTGCAACCCACACCTTGGTGAAATGGTTTTAGACTCAGTTTTGCTACAGGGGCTGTGATATCATGCTGAGCTCTCACACTGACATCTCTGGGACTGCTTATTCTTTGTGCAAATCTCAGCTGAAACACCAAGCACTTGAATTCACCAAGTGAAAAACAGATGGAAGAGTATTTTTTGTGAACACATCTGAGTGTTTTATTCTGAAGTTAGGTTTTTTAAAAAAGAAAACTCTTCCCTTCTTCTGTTTTTTGGTGTTTTTTTTTCCCTCAGGTTTACCTTGGTCCTTTTCTACATGTATGTTTTGTGTGTTTCCTGTGTCATTGCTTCATATTAGTTTATAACAGATCTTGAGTTCCTTTCTTTTACTTATTCTTGCCCTTTTTAATGCTGTTAACCAGAATATTTCTGAGCTGCAGTTTCAGAAAATATCAGAAAGATAATTTTTGAAAAAAACCACTTGTGTGTTTTATTTAGGAAAAAAGTTGATGTGTATGAACAGGAATGAAGGAACAGAAGTGTTTCAATAATTTATTTTCTCTGATTTTCAAAAAGAAAACTGTTTTTAAATGAAGAATTCTACAAAATTGTAGAACCTGCTTTTCTTCATGCTGATTTCTTTTCTTGCATGGACTGACATGCGATGGTTGGATCTTGTGTTCAATAACTGAGATTCACTTCAATGGCGGGATCCCCCCTAAGAAAATTAATTTGTTTCATTTTATCTTCAGTGCAATGAAACTTCCTTCTTTTTTGAAGCACGTAACAAGGTCACATGCAAACATCTCTGGAAATGCTGTGTAGAGCATCACACATTTTTCAGGTGAGTGATGCAAAAGTTAGGTTGTGTTTTCCATAGAGCCTACACTGAGTGGGAACCTTGTGTTATACATGCAGAGTGGTGTTACAAAGGCTTCCTGCCTGGAAACACATTTGTCTTCTTGGTTATAGAATGCTTTTAAAAGCCTACACCTTTTGTTTACAGTGATGTGAAGCAGTGTTTTTAAAATTGGGTAGTTTGATGGTTTCTTTTGTCTTAGCATTCTTTTCTAAATAGTGCTTCAGGTTGCATATAGTAGGCTTTATCAGAAATATTCACAAATGTATATGGCAGGATTTAAGTTGCCATGTAGATATTGATGTATTTGACCATCAGATTTTCTATAGCAGCATTGGCTTGAGGGAGGCCTTTGGAATTCAGACATGAATATTTTCTACAGTGCACAAATAAAGATATATATATATATTTTTTAATAGAAATTCACTGAATTTCTATAACATTTTGCTACTTATTGAGGAGTAGAAAATCTTCCCAGTGTACTGCACATTTCAAAGCACTTGATTTTACAGTTGCAAAAAACACCAAGAGAAATTTGCTAAGATGTCTAATTGGGAACTGGTAGATGGAATCCTCTGGGCTGCCTTTAGCAGTCCTGTAAATGAGTGAACTGAGAATCCCTCCTGCAGTCTCTCTACTCTGGCAGGGTGGGTTTGCCTTCTCCCAAAATTAGGTGAAAGTCAGCTGGTGCTATCAATTTACACTTGACTCTGAAATAAAGAGCTGTATAATCAAAATTGGGGGGGACAAACAGGGAAAAAAGAGGGGACAAAAGGGAGACTTTCAACCCCATAAGAGCCTGTCCAGAGGTAGGGATGAAGAGGAGCTTAAAGAAAAAAAATTGTTTTGAGCCCAAATTTATATTCTTTTTTCTTGAATTGGGATGGGGAGTGTAATTCAGACCTATCTGTGCAACTTACTCTGTTATTTTATTTTTCAAACTACACAGGGTGCCAGAGAATGAATCAAACTCTCTGTCAAGAAAAGTCAGCAAGTTTGGATCCATAGGTTATAAACATCGGTACTGGTGAATTTTTTTGATTGTTTAAACTTCAGTTTGCTCTTTCTTCATTTCTTTTCTCCTCTCCAATGAGAGAAAACCCCCAACCAGAATATGACCCAGTATCGTTCTGAAGACAAAGGATGAATCAGGACCATTTTAACAGATTCTCCTTGGGAGTCTAGCAGTTTTGAGACAAATAAAAGTTTCTTCTCCAGATCCCCAGAATAGGTTGAGGCCTGCTATATTCTATAGGTAAAGTGGGAGCAGATTTGACAGTTCTTTAAATCCTTATCTCCTTTTAAGTTCTGAAATTACTTTAATGTCCTAGAGAGGTTTTTCTGACAACTGGAGAATACCAAAATGAGGCTATGTCTTTTCTGACTTGAATAGGTGACAACACTGGATGAATGTTCAAGGCTCTAAACCTTGAAAGATGCTGTAAACTTGAAATTAAAGGCAGATAAGGAGCACTGTTTTCACTGTCTTGCAAGATATAAATGGATCATAATGAGTAAGGTTGATAATTGTTAGTTAGGCAGATCTTTGTCATTTTGCCTACTTCATAATCCAGATTATGTGAGTTATCATTCTCTGGCATTATCCAGATTCTCCTTGCTGTGGATAACAGGGCAATGATTGTCCTCCTTTTATGTTTGTAGTGGATCCTGGCCTGCATTACCCCATCCAGGATAATGGGTGGGAGTTTACTGGATTCCTGCCAGAGTACTGCAGAGGAATTTTTTTCTGTTGGACCACTTCAGCAGATTGGGGCAGGGCACTGGTGCTGGGGAGGAGAAAGCTTTGTATGGGCAAGAATTTTCTAGTCAATTAAAAACAACATGCCATGAAGCAGTTAACTGTGTTTGAGCTATTGCTGTTGATGGTGCAGTTCGGTTCATCTTCCTATTTTAATAAATGTCATGGATGATCTGTGATTTGATTTACCATGTTGGGTGACAGTCATAAACTGTCAACTTCGGTTGTCTTCCCTTTTTGCTTTTGGTCCCTATTGTTGCACCAAAAGCAGTGACAGTGTTGTGTATCCATATATATCATTGTGCTAGTTTAAGCCATTCCTAAAAAAACAATATTTTGTTTTAGTGGATTATCTCCACTTGAAAATCACAAGTATAGGAGTGGTTGGCACAATCTATCGATGATTTTGCCAGTGACTGATTCAAAACAAAATTCAGGGTAGTGCTACTCCACAGGAGAACCAGAGATAGGATGACAATTTAATAACTTTTTCAGTCTAAGGATCCTCTTTGATAACTTTTCCAAGTGCTTTCTTATGATTTTATTGTGTTTTGAAGTGGCAAAACATCATTGCGGATGACCAGAGACACTTCTGTGCAGCTACCGCGGCCTGACCAGAGCATTGAAAGAAGTCGCAGCAAGACTTACCCCAAAAGAACACAACAGACAGGTAGGTCCTTCTAGGGGCAGATGTCTTCTTTTTTTGGTTCTTTTTGTCATCATGAGGTGACTCAGAACTGCTGCAGTGTCCTGGAGGACCTCTTGGAATGGATTCTGTGTTTTGCCTTAGGTCAGTATTTGTATCTAAGCTTAACAGGATATGAAACCTCTAGCTTTCCAGATAAAATAAGAGTTGCTGTGGGTTAAAGTGGATAAAACCCCATGTGAATAGGTCTAATGTAAAGGTTGAGAGGGAGGTTTGAAAGCAGGCAGTGAGAACATGTTTTTTTCTCAGGAGTCCTGTCTCTCGCAAACAAGTTTTATACCCATGTGTCTTAGTTCATATCCCATTGTTTGGCCTGTTTGATCCAAGGTACTACTTTTGTGCATCCTCTTCCCATGTCAAGGACAGTATTCCTTTATTTTGAATTTAAGTGGAACAGAAGTTAGTGCCATGCAATTTTAACATGCTTCAGGTGTGTGAGCTGGAAATCTATTCTGTATGTGGAAGCTGTCATGGCAAGCTGGAAGTTTTTACAGAGGAGATAGGATTAAGTTTGGATCACAGAAGTCATGCCCTAGATAACGGATGCTTCCTGAAATTCGGTAATAGAGACGTCAAACTCCATATGATTACATGGATTTTGCTTAGCTTCATCTATGACAGAAGGCACACACAGTTCAGTCAAACTGTGCATGGAATTAAGCACCTATGTGTTTGCTATTTGAGAAAAAACAATATCTCTTTTTTATTGTAGTTTAATATGCCACTATAGAATTTGAGAACCTATTTTTAAAAAGAGAGCAGATACATACCTCTGGAAACCTCCAGAATGCAGTCTTTTGTATTTTGATTTAGAAACAAAACTGGTGTGCTCTACCTTTTAGCTGTGATTGCTCTTGAAATGTAACATAGGTGAAAGAATAGCCTTAGAAAATAGAGCCAGTTTATAACATTTAAAAAAAATTAATTATTTTATTTTATTTTATTTTATTTTATTTTATTTTATTTTATTTTATTTTTATTTTATTTTATTTTACTTGGTGTAAAAAGAGAAGAATTACTTTGCTTTCTGATTGTGATGTTTCATTGTGTGCAGTTTTAACTGCATGTCTGAGAGGACAAGAAGCTGTTCACCCTTGAACCTAATGACATCAACTTTTTGTTCAGCTGGACTGTCCTGTTCTCAGGGCAGCAGTTCAAGCCAAACAGCATTTCCTACCTCATTAGTCCCTGGTTCTGTTTCAGGAAATTCGTGTGGCTTTTTGTCAGCTAAAACTCAGCTCTTGGTTTAAAATAATGTTTGCCTTAGTGCAGGCAGTGAAGGTGGGTCTGTGCTGCTGCAAGGCTGTGCATGTGTTCTGTTCATTTTGTTTTTGGTCTCTTTGGCTGGAAGTGTGAGGAAAACCTGAAACCTTCTGTAGCCTCTTCTGCTGATGTAATGTGATGCAGAATTCTCTGGGCGACATATGTTTGCTATTTTGGTGGCTTTAAACACGTTCTCCCACTTTAAAATAAAATGTCTGCTTTTTCACTATTTTGCTTACATATAGTTGTGCAATCTCTGTCCTTCATCTGTTTTCTTTTAAAATTAAAGCTTTAATTGATTACCCATGTATTCCAAGTCATATTCCACTGGGGAAAATGTATTAACTTAGATGATATTAATATTAAATGAATTTGTTTCATTTCCCGCTCAAAATATGAGCTGAGGGAAGAGAGCTATGTCTTTCAAATGCCATCTTTCCCTATGAATAAGCATATTTTCTCCTTTTTAAAAAGAAATAAATAATTTTTGTCTTTGTTATTCACAGTGATAAACATTGAATACTCTTCCTCCATTTAAACAGGCTTTCAGAAGCTGAATGAATACTAATGCTGCTTCTCCTCACTGTGTCAGACAACATATGACCTATTGCATAGAATAAATCTACCTCTTTGCACCTAAAGTTGTTCTTAGATATAATGAAGTCCATTTTACACAATAAATCAAGACTATTTGGCACATTTTAAGCATCATTTGCTTAAATATGTTATCACAATGTAGATTTTATTTTGTAGACTATTTTTCGTCCTGGAAATTAACCTGGTAGTCTGATAAGTTTTACGAGTTATGTAAAAGTTTCCCTGACTAAAATGTTTGAGAAAATTAAATGACATTTCTTCTTCAAATAAATATTCCTTTTGCACAATGACATTATGCAGATAGTCATCATTGATGGCTAGTCCTTTGTTCTTTATTTTCTATTTGTACTATGGTGTATTGAAGTTAAATATGACTTATGCAACATTTTAAACAGAGTGATATTAGTTTGTATGTATTAAATCTACCTTACAGTATTTTCTGTCAAATACCACTTTAGTTAGGATCCAGCTGGAAAAAGTCTCATAATTTAATTTTTTGGAATGAAAGTCAGGTTTCCATTTACTTCCCCAAATCCAACAGCAGCTCACAAATAACCCATATGAAATAACTTCCTTCCACCTACTCTGAGTTCAGCATGTTTCCTCATCTGCTTCTGTCCCTTTTTATCTTTTTTTTAAACTGCAAAGTGAAATGTGTTCTAGGCCTCATTTTTGCAGCCAGTGCAGTTAGCCAGTTTGATTTTGTTTGATCTTTTTTTTTTTTTTATCTATTGGTACCACTGATGGGACCAGCCACAGCAGTGGTTTTGGGGACAGTTAGAACAAGAGCATGACTGAAGCATATAAAATTGGCATTGCCTCCATCAGATAAATGTCTGTGAAGTGCTAAAACTTCTAACCTCTGACATCTAATTAAAACCCTTTCCCTTATTGCTTCTTTTTGTGTACATGTTCTGGTGTTATAAACACAGTATGTGCTTTTTATATCTTTTTCTGTTACCTGCAGGTAGAAATTAGTTATCTCTAGCAGAGATGAACAATAATGTTTCTTTGTCTCATTGGTCCACTAAAGTACACTGAGGTAGGACTGCAGACACTTGATGAAGTCTTGGTTAAGAGCTGGAGCAGGTGCCAGCCAAAACAATGACAGAAAATATTATTTCTGTTTTCAGTAAAAATATTTGTGGTTTAATAGTGAGATTGAACGAGATGATACTGTCAACAGAGAGAAACTATCTTTTGTGTATAAAAGCCACTGCCATTGATTGCTTCAATGCTTCACTGTTCATAGGATGAACAGTGCAGACCTTTTGGCGTTAGCATGGCAGATTATTTTCCTAGAATACAGATTCCAGTGGTTTAAAATGCAGTAATCTCCATTTTGTCACTTGTCTAATACATTTCATATCTCAGTTGGTCTAGGGGTAGTTGAAAAATGGTATCAGGAAACTTTAATGGCTATGATTTTATATTAGATTTAGACTGTGTTTTTATATTAGTGCATGAGGGTTTTTTTTACTGTATGTTTAGGCTGGTATTCAAGTTGGTGTTCATTTAGAGAAAGAGGTTTTTGTTTTGTTCTGTCAAGCCTTGTGAGTGAGATAAGCGTAACTTGTTTAATTTGCTTATTTTTCCCCTTTCAGCTGAGAGAGAATTACAGTTGCATTTTGCTCTGCTTGCAAATAATGAACTCAAACATGGAACAGGTTCTCTTGATTCTCTGTCTTGCTGTCTTAGGGCCAGGCTGATAATGCTCAGCTTTTATGATTTAGAGTGGAAGTGTTATTCTTTTGGCTGAATGCTGAACATGAAAAGCTCCTTGGGAACATCCTCTCAGGACAAACATTGATGTGACCAGACCTGTTGCTGTGGGTCTGAGTTTATTCAGTGGTGGAAAACACATTGCTTAGGGTTTGTTGTTGTTGTTTGGTAGCTGAGGACTTGGTTTGTTCCTGCCTTTGTATGTGGGGTAGTTGTGTAAACCAGTGTAAAATAAGTGCTGCCATTCTGATTTAGAAGCCAGGTGGAGAGCTAGGTGTAGGTGTTACAATTACAGTACTGTATGTATTGTGAAAATCCTTAAGCAATCACATTTTGCCACAGATCCCTGTTACTACCTTATTAGTAGCCATGGTAGGTAGAACTGTTGGTCTGGCCCAGTCAAAGTCTTTTCCCAGAAAATTGTAAGATTGGGTTTGCAAGTTAGATGTTTGAGAAAATAGATCTTGGGGTGATTTTAGCTATTTCCTAATTTATATACTTAGAGCTTTATATTTTCAAGTTTACTTAAGATCCAGTGTTTGGTAAAAGGATGGATGTGACTGCTTTTGCATTGCAGTCATGGAACATGAGATGGACAAACTCTTAAGGCTACAGGCTTAGAAACTAATAATAAAAAAAGCCATTATGCCAGAGTAGGCTGTGCTGGTGTAGGCATATGGAAGTCGATTTGGTTTTTTGGGCTCAGGGTGCAAAGCATGAGCACTTACTGCATGCTTTCCATTTGGTCACACTATCTGCTGCTCTCATGACTTGGTTTAAACACAAACACTACTTCCAGATAATGTCAGATAAGTGGCTTCACCTGATAAGAAACAGGCATGACAAGCAATGTACCAGGCTGATACTTTGGACAAATACCTGGTTGTCTGATATAGGTTTTGGACACTTGAGTTTTTAAAAATGTAATAGCTGGCATGAATTGAATGGACAAATCAGCGTCAAGATGGCTGTAAAAGGGAATTAAGTGTGTGCATTTACCTCACTGGAAAAATTCAGTGCAGTGCAGTCAATTCTGAGAGTACCTTATCCAGGTAAGGATAAAGTACTCTTTATTATTATAAATAAAGTAAATAATAATAAATAAAAAAGTAATTTAAAAGCAATTTATTATAAATAAAAGTAATTTATTATAAATATTTATATTTATATTTATATTTATATTTATATTTATACTTATATTTATATTTATATTTATATTTATATTTATATTTATATTTAAACAACCAGGGAAACCATCCACTAATGAGATATTCAAGATTTCTGCCGAAGGTATTTTTGAGAGGCCTATTGCCTCAGCAAGCAAGAAACAGTGATACACCTACATTTTTGCAATGGGCTTAGTGTTTGGACAGTGTTTTTGGAGACTTCTCTTTTATATTAGATAATAATATCATACAGAGGTATAAGCTGGTGGAACAGCAGTGTAGTCAGTAAAAGATGCACCAGGTGGAACACACTTGGAGACAATCATTACAGTTTCTGATTACCCGCCATGACCTGACACCCAGGGGTGAGTGGGTGCCTGCAGAATGGTAAGGATGTTGCCACACATATCAAACCAGCACTTCTGGAGGTGTCTATTACCTTGTCATCTGACCCTTGGCTGTTTTTCTGGCAGTTGTTTCACTGCTATGATACATTTTGGAGAACAAGTTATTGTTACTCCGTTAAGTAATAAAAGGATGTTCTGTGACTTAATTGAAAATTTCCTCACAGAGGAATATGTGAAGTACTGAGATCAGTTCCTTTGTTTGAAAAGTTATAGATTTGCTGATTTCTGCAGAAGACTGGCAGATCTCACCTATAAGAGAACCAATTGATGAGCCCACAAAATGCCTTAGAAAATCTCAAGTATTTGTGTTGAAGTGGGGTCCAGAGACTCTGTTTGCCAAAGGGGTGGTATGGGAAGTTGAAAGAGATTGTGAAGAAATCCTTTCTCTGAGGCTGAGGAGAAAACTTACCATGCAAAATCTTTTCCCAGCTTAAATTAAGACATCACATTTTTGTTTTATCCAGTCAAAATGACTTGGGGTTTGTACTGCTGTATTAACAACACTGTGATGCTGTTGCTCGTGTCCAGAAGATACTGTATTATAATCTCAATCTACTTCATTATCTTCAATGAACATGCTTAGAATTCTCTCCAGAGGAGGTCTGCATCAATGATGATACTGTTTTGTTGTTCTACTTGACATCTATAGATAATAACAGTTTTGTAAGAAGTGTCTGAATTTGCCAATTAGGTGGAAACAGAATGTGTAAACTAAAGGAAAATTACAGATTAATATTAATAGCATAGCATGGAAACTGAAATCGTAGCACCAGCAGCAACCAAAGTGTATTCTCCTTACACATTTATTCTCATTGTTGACTGAGCAGGGAGTTTTCTTCTGTTGACAGTGGTAGAGTATCCCTTTGAGAACAACAGATTCAGAATTCCCTGTCTTATGTGGAAGAGTAATGAATGTGCTTAATGTTAAACTTTATTGACCTCTGGTACAACTAGAAATAAGGGTAAGACACAAAGATGTAATCCTTACACACCTTTAACAAGAGGAGCATGCACCAGGTATCTTGTGTGTCATTTTATCTCTCATGCTGCCCTATAGGTGATTATGCTGAATAGGTGTGCAAACATTTATGCTACAGGACTTATCTGTTTTGTTTTGTTTTGATTTCCAGGTTCTAAGAACACGAGCCAGATTACAACAAATGGAGAAAATGAAGGAACTACTAAAATTATTGCACCTTCTCCAGTGAAAGGGTATGTAGACCTTAAGTTTCCATACAGCTTTTAATAGGCTGTACAACACATTGGATAGAGGAACATGTTTATCATGCACTTGAGTTCAGGACCATCTGATCATCTGCTGACAAAGGTCAGAAAGTGTTGCCAAGTAATTAATTTTATAAAATCCTGATCTTCCAATCAATGCAGAATAGGGATTTCAGGTGACACATGGTTTGAAAACCCATAAATCAGCACAAGTTAATGGGAAGGTATATAGTCTCAGGTTTAAATAGGAAAATTTGGATAATGACCCAAAGGGCACTGGTCAGGATAGTCCTGTGAAGTCCTGTTAGTCTCTCCCCTGGAAGCTGTGGGCTGGCTGTCAGAGCCCTCAGGGCATGTGCCTTCTGTCTCTCAACAGGGCAAGCTTGGGGTGTGTGGGCAGGGAGGAGCTGGGCATGGGCTTTCTCCCAACAGGTTTGTTAATCTTGCAGTGATTGCCCATTACACTGTTGAAATTGTAATAAAAATCAGGAATGTTCCTGATCTGTACGAGTAGTGAGCTGCCAGGGCTCCTCTGGACTTGTGTGTCTCATTTATCAGTGCTGAAGTGCACCTCTCTGGTTTTTAAGCATATTTGAAAGGAAGAAGTAAGACACAGATTCAGAAATGGGTTTATATCCCCACCCCTAATTTTAGGAGGAATTTATGTGCCTGAATCAGAAAAAAAAAATTTGTCTGACAAAAGAATGAGTCAAAAAACACAGCACTTAACTTTTGTTGAGTTGCCTGGATATCTGTCTCTGCATGCTTGGCAATCCTGACAGTTGTGTTTCTTCTTGAGTGAGTAACCCTTAACTGTGCTTACCTATGCATTGAAGCTGTTGGCTTCACAAGCTAGGTGTCTGGACAGACCTCTGAAAAAGGATCTAAAAGATCTACTGATTTGCTGGAAGTACTTGGTAGATAGTGTTCTCTATTGCCTAATATTTAGAACAGTTGACCTCAAAAAGAAAAGCTGAGTTAAATTGCTTTCTCATTTTTGAGGGAAATCGAATCCACTATTCTATCCCTTAGAAAACAATGCTAATTGTGTGTTAAAAGAAAGTTTATGATTTTGCCACTTGGTCACTCTGAAGCTAAACCATTAAATGGGAAACAATACAGAGGTAAAAAAATACATGGAGGGAAGGCACAAAGAGGATGGATCCAGGCTCTTTCTAGTGGTGCCCAGTGACAGGTCTAGGTGGGAACACACTGAAAGACAGGAGATTCCCTCTGAATGTCAGGATACAATTTTTCCCTGTGCAGATGACTGAGTACTGGCAAAGGTTGTCCAGGAAAGTGGTGGAGTCTCCATCCTTGGAGATAATTCCACAGTTGTCTGGGAATAGTTCTGGGCAACTGAATCTGGATCATCCTGCTGGGGCAGGCAGCTGGACCAGATGACATCCAGAAGAACCTGACTAGCCCACTATTGTGTTGTTCTGTGATTTGTTAGGAGAAAGAAAGATAAAAAGCAAAAGGTACCATTATTCCTTAGCACAGAGATTTTTTTTGGGAGGCATGGGACTCCTTCACTACAGAATTTGTAACAATGAGCTGTTAAAAAAAAATTGATAGGCAGGTTTTAGAGGAAGAGCCAGAATAAGTCACTCTCAATACGACAGCTTCAAGGTTTCTGAGTTTAGTTTCTTATCTTGACAGTTTAAAAGCATCTCACAGGCAGATTCTTACTGAGTCATATTTTAGACAACGTTAGTCAATTCCAGAAAAAAAAAATGGTTTTGGAAGTTATTTGTCTATTTAGGATTTGATTTGTTTTTCTCTGTGTCTCTGTCTACACATGAAGAGCACCTTTTGGGTCTGCCTGGCTTCATGTATGTGGGAGGCAGCACACAAAAATTGTGTAGCACTTAGAGTTTGGAAGTTTGCTCCATCCTGTGTAATTTTTGCACTAGTTGTCAGTGATGCTTGCAGAACATATTTCAGTAGTGTTCAGAAGCTGAGTTTTCATATTTAACATCTTATTCACTGTTGAGATCTGTAGTTAATCACTCCTATGTAAGTGGTATCAACTCAAATTATAAAAACCCCCCAATGAAATCTCACATGAAATTCAGATCTTAACCCTTTCAGATACTTTGAATGAACTCAGTACCTTTTGCAACTGCATTCCTGGAGATACTGCTAGTATTTGAAGAGCTGCCATGCTCTAATTTTCTGTCTGTAAAGTGTGTGACTGCTTCAAATGAATAATGACTTGGGAATTTAAAGCAGTAAATTCACCTCCCAGATACTGTCTCTTTTTAAGACTTGAAAACAGTATTCACCGTTGTTTAAGTTCAGCCTAGGTACTGTTCAGTAGTTCATGCTGCGCAAATCAATTCCTTTTTGCAGTATGGGATAGAAATGTATTTATCTGGATTACTTGCTCAGTCTGCAGTAAGAACATATTTTTAAGCCTGGGAATAGATTGCATGCACCTATGAGTCAATAATTAATGGGTGCAGTATTAAGAAAATTATTTACCTGATAAGGTGTAATTTAATTTCTTTTCCTGCTGACTTACTGTAGCTTTGTATTTTGTTCACTCTGTGAGAATTAAATGATTAACTCTGACCTGTAGTAACCAAAGGCTGGGGTTAGAAGTGGATTAGTGAGTTAAGTAGCCACGATTCCTTCATAAAGCTGAGTCTGTCATTTCCTGCTTTGGGGAAAGAACTCCCAGCTTATATCCTCCTCTCTGTAAGCAACAGTAAAGCTTTTATTTTTTCTGCTTGAGTTGCATTTTATAACTATATGATGATTGTATGGAGTTGCTGTCAGTAATATTTCTTGATGACCTTGGTGGAAATCAATGTGGCTGCCTCTTTCTGTCTCAGGTAAACTGCTTGTCCATACAGGAAAAGAGCTCTAGAGATGGAAAAGCTCTGCTGAGCCATTGGCAAGGACAGGGGCATGCTTCAGCTAAAAGCCACTTCCCAGTATTTGAAGTGGCAATTATCTGGGAGTTTTAATGGGTCAGAAGCTGTAACAATGCTGATATATCTGTAGCCAGCTGTCAGAAGCTGGTTACAAATGCTAATATATCTCTCAAGCCAGGTGACTGTCCTGGTACATTGCCTTGCAGCAGTCAATGAAGTCAGCTCTTCCACAAAAATATCTTTCTGGCAAAAATAAAACCCAAGGCTTTGCTGGGGAGGTTATGAGAAGGATATGCTGCCCTGCGAACCTATGAACCTGTGATCTGTCATGCTTTGAATAGTTTTCATCACCCCTGCCTTTGTTGCTCCCATTTTAAAGTAGGTACCGTGCACCTGGAAAAATGGTAGAGAAATATGATAAGGGTAATCTGAGGTATGTGGTGACTCCTGTACTGGGAGAGGTTAAGTAGCCTGTGGTTCTTTCACTCGGAAAAGAGATAAGACAGTTAAAAATGTGTAAAAAAAACATCAAGGGTGGTGTTTTTGATTAGGCAGCCATTGTTCGTAGCTGTTTGTTTTTCTTTATTTCTTTCTATAAACACAGAAACAGTCAGGAAAAAGAGATGGAAGTTTTGAACCAGGTAGAAGTTTTGAAATAATGTTAAATAATTGTTTATGTCATAGCCAGATACTGGAACATACTCCTACCAGACACTATGACAAAAATTAAAAAAAAATATTTGAAAGGTATTTAAGTAAACCCATGGAAAAAAGTTTCATTAAGAGCTTTGTAAAATAAAAAAGAAGGTAAAGCCTCTGATTCAATAATCTTTTAACTGTATATTATGGAAGGCTATGAGATCATATTGTATGTTTGCCCTGCTGTTAGACTTCTTGCCTAAGTATTTGTTCTTGTTTATTTGGAGACAGGATTGCCTGTTTTTCTGACTCAGTGCTCCCACAATTATGAGCTTGCACAGACGATTTTTTTTTCCTTCTTTTTTTTTCCCCCACTTCTTTCTCCTTCCCTTTACAATTGCTCTTTTTAGGAGAGATTTTTCAACATAGCAACTCTTTGCCCCTTTCTCATAACAAATAAGTAACTATATGCCAGGGTGGGTCTCTTTAATGAGTGTATGCCTTTAAAATTAAATTTTAAGTGGTCAGCACAAAAGAAAATGTGATCTGTGTACAATGTTGTTTGTTTTTTTAAAAAATAAACATATACATATATATATATATACCTGTACTTTTATTTAGCTTTAAGAAGATGAAAAATGAAAACAGCCCAGAAACACAAAGAAGTAAAACAAGTGCTCCATGGGAGGAAAATGGCCCACAGAGGTAAGACAAGACTTGATGACTTAGGTATTGTGCAATGGTAAATATCATACAACAGCAGAAAGTTGAAGGTTATTGATACAATATATTAATGTGTTATTTAATTCATAATAGATGTGTATTGTATGTAAGCAGATAGGTTCTTTCATGGATAAATAAATAGTTAAAAATTAGGAAAGTATGTGTAGGAGGAGGTAGCCAGTGAATAAATGTCAGCAGTGGCTTTCTTTAGAGATCTGTTCATAGACCTCTGATATTTAGTATATTTGTCAAAGAACTTGAAAAAGGGGTAATAAACTTCGGTGATGATATGAAATTGTTTAGGATAGTGAGAAATTTGTCTGTGGAGAGTGGCAGAAAGGCTCCTGAAGTGTGACTGATGGGTAGATTCTGTTGAGTCAAAAAATGTAAAGAGAGGTGCATGAGAACAACAAAAAAATAACCCTAGATTTCTGCTTAATATGAAGTGCTGTGGAATTATGTGGAATTATGATGGATAACAAAGAAAACATCAGCTGTGTAGCAGTCAGATAAACAATTAGCAATTATTAGTAAATCAAGAGAGCAGCTTTATGCCATTGTATAAATTGGTGGATCACATATGTACTTCATGAATTTTGGAAGCAGTTCTGATGTCCTTATCTCAGGAAAAGGAATAGGCTTTGAGTGGGGCAGCAAAGGGGATCAAAAATGTGAAAGGCTCTGCAGTAAATCTGTACAAGGAGCAAAGGCAGAGGCAGACAGGAAACTTCCTGTAAAAGAGGCAATTTCAGGGGATGACATCTAGAAAATCACGAGTTGTACTGAGAAAAGAGAAAGTGATCAGGACTTTTTTTCCAGCAAAAGAACTAAGGATCTTCAGGTGAAGCTATTGAAGGTGGTGTAAAAGTGTTGATAAAGGCAGTCAGTAGTGACTCACCATGAGTGGGAGATCTGTGGTCCTCCTTTGCAAGGAGGTGAATTCCTGGGGGAGCTGGGTGAGTCATGGAACAAAAATCCTGAAGGGCTTCTGAAGACAGAGAAGCAGCAGCTGGCTCAGTAAGTCCCCTGGACTGGGAATGGTGTGGGATGCAGGGAGCACTGGGGAGCTGTCTTCAGGCTTCTGCTGACTGGAGGTGCCTGTTTACAGCTGCTGTTGGAAACAGACTACTAAACCAGACAGCATGTAAAGTGTAATCCAGAATGGTCCTGCTTTTCTATGACAATTCAGATCTATACCTGATGCACCCCTTGTGCTCCTGTAAACAGCAGTAGATTGTGGAGTAAGGAACAAAGCAGCAAGCAAATAGTCTTTTGCTAGGACAGGCCTTTCTTTAGTTGTTTTTAGAAAAGTAATGTCATCTTGTCACTTTATGTCTCCAGTGTTTCAGTTGCTTTCAGGACAGCAGGAGGTTTGATCTTGCAGGAGCCAAACAATGCTAGAATTGAGTTTTTGCAAATCTATTAATTCTAAAGCACTATGCAGGTTTAGACACATAAGCAGGCTGGATGTTGCACAGCGGCTTTCACAGCTCTTAATAATAATTCTCATTGAGATGAGCTGTGGGAACTTTTCACCTGTGCAGAGCAGTGCTGTAACCAGCTGTCTGCAGAAGCAGATGACAAAGAAAGGATTCAGTTTGAAAGGCAGAGGCTTTTAGGAAAGCAGAAAGAAATCTGGAGGTTGGAACACCTCCACACCAATGGAAGAGGTTTGTTTGTGGGTGAACAGAAGAGAAATGGGGATGGAATTGTTTCATGTTCCCAAACATCAGCTCTGTGATGAAGATGTATGTCATGATAGAACATGGAAAGTTTTCATACTTACATCCATGGAAAACAAGAAGAATGCCTAGCTCTGGGTTGGATATGTGATACTAAACCACAGAAATTTTAGTATGGTAAAAGAATACTAATAGACTAAAAATCTATATTTTGTAAGCTTAGAGTTGATGACTTGGCACTGATAAGAGGTCTCTCTCCTACATTTCAAGGTTTACTGTGAAAAATGTATTGCTAGAAAGCAGTACTATCTGCATTTACATAGAAATCACACTAACACCCAGAAAAGCATGTATAGCCAAATACTCCCCTGTGCATGCATGAATCTTTTAATTTTTGTAAGCTGAATGTCAGTTAGCTGGCCTAACTGCCCTGGAAATGTTAAAGCTGAGTATTTTCTCTCTCTTTTTAACCTTAGTGGACTGTATAATTCTGCTAGTGATCGCAATAAATCACCAAAGTTTCCTTACTCTCGCCGAAGGAACCCATCTGGTGGCAGTGAGAATGAATCTGGGCAGCCAGTTCGGAGGAGGTAAGAGCCTCAGGATTAATTACTGTCAGCTTCTCTGTGTAGAAACTTGAGGCTGGTGTTCAGCTCGTGTAGGCACAGCTGGGCCCTGGGAAAGGGGATATTCCAGGGGCCAATTGTTAGTCAAAAAAAAACAACCCAAGAAAGTATACCACAGCTGTTTTTGTAAAGGAAGCTTTGGTCTGGTTGTTTGCCTGCATGCTGTTGTGGGAAAATGATGTTAAAAATGTGAAAAGTTGCAGTATTGACATGTGCAAGATTCCTTTAGATACTGGAGCACTTATTGCCTGGTGAATGATTAAAACTGATGGATTTGTTTGATTGACAGCTTCCAAAGCAGTGTTATAAGTACATTTCTTTACTTTAACTGCCTGAAGGATTACACAAATGAGCCATAAAGCTGTCTTCAGCAGTCCCATATGTGAACCACCTTGCATTAGAAAGGACACCAGCAAAAATACAACTATGTGACACTTCCAATTGGTACAAGCTGAATTGAATGACTTAGAGGAGTAAAATAGAATGGATGGAGATTCTGTGCTGCGCGTCCTTGAACATGTCCAAAAAGCAAATTACAGGGACAGTTCTGAAGCAATGGAGTATGGAGAGATATGTGTTACCTGGGATGATTTGTCCTGCTGAGAAGCTGCTTTTATCGCTAGGGCACCCTGCCTGGTGATCTGTTATGAAGTATAAACAAACACAGATACTGTGCCATATTCACTGCAGTCTTCTAGAACTGCCATAGGAGCTAGCACATGAGAATTACATCTCTTTCTTGACAGCTCTGAAATCAATACCTGCTTGGCCTTCAAAGCCAGAGCTTTGGGGTTTTTGAAATGGCAGCATATTGATGAGGAAATCTAATTTGATGTGGAGCTTTTATCTGTGTCAGGTTTCTGAACTGTTTCAGACCTTTTATCTGCCACTCGCTGTCTGGGACAGGAGAGAAGAAACTCACCTATAGTGCATGCTTAGTGACCTCAAATAAATGTGAAGTGTAACTCTCCAGCAATGGAGTTATGTTTATTTGCTCTGTTGGATAGCGCCCTTGTAGGCGTTAACAACAATGTGTTTCTTGAATGGGTTTTTTCATGTTTTAACTTCAGCCAGGCCCCAGGCAGCCCCTCACTCACTCCCCCCACCAGCAGGATTATGGAGAGAATCAGAAGGGCAGGAGGTAGAAACCTTGTCAGTTGAGAAACAGTTTAATAGGGTAAGCAAAAGCTGTGCACACAAGCAAAGCAAACCAGGGAATGAATTCCCTTCTTCCTGTGGCTGAGCAGGTGTTCAGCCACTTCTGGCAGAGCAGGGCCCCATCGCACTGATGGTGACTTGGGAGCACAAGATCATCAGTCCAAACATCCCCTCCTTCCTTCCTCTTCCCCCCACTTTAAACACTGACTGTAATGCCACATGGTCTGGAATATCCCTTTGGTCAGTTTCGGTCACTTCTGTGTCCTGGCTGCCTCCTCTCCCAGGATCCCATGTACCCCTGGTCTCCCCCACAGTGTAGCCTTGGCTCTGTGCAATCTCTGCTCAGCAATAACGAAAGCGTGTCTTTATTATCAATCCTGTGTTCAGCACAACCCCAAAACACAGCCCCACTGTGAGGAAAACTACTGCAGTTAAAACCAGCACAGGTTTTCTGATGCATTGTCAGAAAGATTCATTTGGCTTCTTAAAAGCAAAAGAGTAGAGATTAAGCAATGCAAAGCTCTCTTATATCAGAAAGAGTGCTTCTGCACTGTGCAGCATGAAATTGTTTTTATCACTGGGGGATTTGCATTGGGCTGATCTAGTAATCAGATGGACAGTCATGCCAATAGCAAGTTTCCTCTTGGGCTACCACATGAACAAAATGTTTTTTGAAGTCTTTTCTCATATGTGAGACTGTAAATACTGACAGTAGTAGGTAGATTTTAACTCATTTATGCCTTCTTGAGTCTTGGTTTTATTCATGCACTTGCCTTTTCCAACTGTTAGTAGCTGTGCCATTTAGGCACTCTTTAGTGGAGTTAAGAGGAAACCAACAGGTTCTGCTATGTGGAAACAGTAGTAAACTCTAAAGGCCAGCATGCTCTGCTTAATTTTGCAAGTCAGGAGCTTGCAATGAGAGCTTGAAGGGAATCATGCCTTCAAAACTTATTGTAAAGGTGTCCTGAAAGGTTTAAAACAAGCACATGCCCTATTTTCTCTACCTGACATCATACTGGGGAAAAAAAAATCCATCAAAAAACTAAAATACTTTGGTTTTTTTTTATGGGTAGTTTTGTGTATTTGTATTAAGTAACTCTATGACATTTCATTAAAACTTCCTTAATGTCACAGGAAAAATCAAAATAGTGGTGAAGATTCAGACTTAAAGCAAAGGAGAAGGTAAATACATGATCTATAGCAGCTATGAAATGATAGTGAAGGTATGGGTTGTATTTTGTTTCACTGCATACCCTTCTTTCCTTCCTTCTCCCTCATCTTCCTAAATGTATAAAAGGATTGTTGTGTTACAACCTTTCAATTTTTTATTTCTTATCTTTTACTAAAATGCTCTGGTGCATGGCCTCATCAAAGCAGAGTCTTTCAGCATATTGCTGCTATTCCATGTTATAAGCAGCTTGTGAAAGTTTCCTGAGGGCTTATCTGCAACTTGAAAGTCAGTTCCAGAAGTTTTAGCTTTTGGAGTTTGAATCTGCAGATTTGTTTTTACTTCTCCAGCCTCCCTACCCACTTTTAACTAATCTGTTTTGCAAACAAATGTGCTATCATCTGAGATGAATTGTCCTGACAGAGGTAAGTGCAAAGGCATATATAACTCCTGATGGTCCTCTTGCTGTCTTGCATATTTTTTGAAAGCTTCTTGTCCCTGCCCCCATCTCCTATTTCAGACTTACTAGTTGACACCTTTCAAATTAAATGCAGGTGTGAATTTGGGTATGCCCTTCAACAACTTCAGCTGTTTACAGATTTTTGCCACATCTGCTTGTCATGACTCTGTGTAGTGCTTCTCACATCTGTGCTCCTGTTTGCACTGCTGAAATAAGGAGACAGTGGAGTGCTTTTCGATGTCAGAGGCTCCTGGAGCTTGGAAAGGAGAGGAGGCACTCCCAGGATCTGAATCACTGCTGCAGCACGGGAAAGGAGCTCTGGCAGAGATACAAACATCTCGGGACAATCACAGGAAGCCAGAGAAAGCGCTCACCTACTTCCTACTTACTATAAGATAACAGAATGTTTTTTGGAAGGATGTTGCCATTACAAGCTGCTGGTGGTAGTCTTGTGGTAGATATCCAGCACATAAAACTGAGAAGATTTAGTTAAGCATGTCAGGTGGAAAGCCTCAGTGCTCAGAAGGGACTCTTCCCACAGATTTGTTATTGTACATTGCAAAAGACCTCCACTTCCTCACAATTTGGCTATTCTCCTCTCATTTTAATTAGAAAAAAGACTCTGCCAGAATGTGAGCTTTCCTCAACCCTCCAAGCCCTCTCTTAGGCAGTATTTGTTGTGTCTCTTGTAAAATTGACTATGACTTTTTTCCTCCTTATGCTAGGGTATATAGGTATTCTACCTACAAAATATGAAATATATTGCATAACAAGGAGAACAGGGAAATAAAGGACAAAAGGTACCTTAAAATTGTCAGAGATCAGGATAATCTCATGTGTTCTTGCACCTGATTTAGGAAACTATCTTTTTTTCCACCCATTTTTGGTATTTTGCTCAGTAAAAGATGATACTTAATAATCAGTAAAAGATAATATTCTGACAACAAGCATGAGCAGCTGCCACTCAGCTGACAGCTCAGGAACCCTTCTGTGTTCACAGAAGCCCACAAGTGCTTTCCTGACAGGGAACACAAGTTAATTCAATGTGCAATATCCAAAGGTGGATCGCATTTCCATTCCTGAAAAGTTAGAGAAAGGCTTACCTTGACTTGTTCAAATTGGATGTTTTATCTTGTACTTTGCCTGCCATGCTGTGATTTTTGGCTGTTTTGGTACCTCATGAGATAAATTACTTAAATCACAGTAAATCAAGCTACTTCTTGTCATACTTAAAAATCTAGAAGAGTCATGCTAATGACCTGGAAGTGTGAAAGAACAGTGTTGCTCAAATGACATATTAATGTTGATGTTAGAAGTGTATTTATTAAACATCTGATGAGACTGGGGTTGGGAAAGGTATACTTTTGGCTGTGTAAGGTCTGCTGCAGTTCTAGAACATTTATTGCTCTTAACTCTTCCATTGTGCTTGAGTGACTCTTTTTGACACCATCTTTTAATCTTCCTTCTTTCTTTGGAGTTGCAATTTTCTATAGCAACACACATATTTTTTATCTCCACTTCGAGCTTCATCCAGAAAAGTGTATTTTTAGCTGGCAACATGGATAACCTGGCTTTAAATTATGAACATGAGGTTTGGGGAGGGGGATGTCACTGAAACTGCGGGAAAAACAAAAACCCTCCAACAACATTTTTAGTATTAGAGAATCAAGGCATTACTATATTCTGGCCTGGATGTTGTTCTGACCAGGATGTGCAACAGAAATAATTTCATCCATATGTAGCCTGGCCATGCAGAGGAAATAATTCCATGACACATTTTACCAGATTTTTCACTAACTTTATACAGTCAAAACCCATAGAGATTCATTGGTTCAATGTTCTTTGGTTCCAAGTTATGTAGTTCTTAATAGTTGATTATGCATTGGATATGAATTTGTTCACCTCTGATTTGTCCTCATTCTTGCATCTTCTTTCCCAGACTAGGTGTGTCTGACCCTGCCAGGGCTGATTTTTAATGGTCATTATCTTTTGTGTATCTTCTGTACTACTCCCAGTCTGTTGAGATGTCAAGCTCATCAGGCCTTGCCTAGTGGACCAATGCCCTGAAAAAAACTTCAGTTCCCTTCCCCTGGGGCAAAGGCGAACAAACCTGATTAAAGCTATCAAATAAAATAGAAATTCAACTTAGTATCTTTTCCAGCAGGAAGAAACTTCTCCTCTGGGAGAAATTTCTCTTTGCCAAATTTATTCCCTTCAGGCAAGCTGGGTTGAGCTGATTTTCCTAGACTTTAGCTGTCACATTATTCTAAGACATTTTTGTTTGAATGGGAGCTATTTCAACTAATGATTTCCTGATTTAGGTGAGAGGGGAGAACAAACTCCAAAGACCAAGGCATTTAAAGGCTCAGCAATGTGATGAAGGCAACCATAAATCACTGGTATTATGGTGAATTTAAGGCTCTCAGGTGTGTCAGAATGACATCTGTAACAGTGTCCTGGTTATTTAGTCCTAGTCCTCTAGAAAGCAGAGTGGTGTGTGCCTGAGAACAGCTCCATGCTGCATCTCTGCTGTTCCCTGGGAATAATCTTCTCTCACCCTGTTTGGGCTCTTCTTCCTAAACCATTAGAACAAGCAGTGAGCAGGTGCTAGTCAGCAGCTTCCTACCTTGTCATGAAATGCTCCCCCTTACCTTTTATTTACACCTAAGGAACTGCTTTATCTCCTTGGCTTGTTTGAGGTGAAGTTTAACAAACCTGTCCTCTTACAAATGTCAGCTATCAAAGAGCAAAAGAAAAGCCAGGAGGCATAAGAAAATACATATCTCTACCAGCATCATCAGGAGTTATCTCCTTATACCTCCTATTTCGTGGCCAGATACGTCAGAAGAAAAATTCTGTTCTCCATTGCAGCAAAACCATCACCAATTCCAACTCCAGACAGCCTAAATCCTTGTAGACCAGCTCCTGCTAATATCAGTCAGCTTTCCTCATTAATCATCTGGGCTGTCAGTATAGCAGAAAAACATAACTGTCTTCGGGCCATTAATAGAATCACAAAAATGTTCAGGTTGGGAAGGAACTTTTTCAGATCATCAAATCCAACTGTTCTAAGACCATCCTCACACTAAAGAATGAATGGTCCAAACTGGATTTTGTTGAGAGTGCTAGTCCTTAGAACCTAGCCAGTGGTACAGTGGCGGAGTCCTGGTTTCTAGGACCAAAGTCCTGACAGTTAGTCTGTCTGCTCCAAAAGTCAGTCATGGATTTAAGAGAAGTTTGCCTGTAGGAAGTGTAGCTTTTTTTTTTTCCATAAAGAGCAGCAGAATCCTAGTGTTACTGGTGTCTCTTCCATGCTGCCTAATACTCCCTTCAGACAAGCTGGGTTGAGCTGATTTTCCTAGGCTTTCGCTGTCCTATTCTTCTAACACATTTTTGTTAGAGTGGGAGATATTTGAACTAATGATTTTCTAATTTAGGAGAGAGAGGAGAACAGACTCCATAGATTGAGGACTTAGGAACTTACAGGATGGAAGTTGAGGGGAATAGAAAACATAGATCTCTGAGCATTTTGTTTTGACTGCAAACCCAGAATTCTGTATCATTTCTGTTAAATGTACCACAATGTTCAAGAAGAAAAGAGCCACACAGATAGAGACGAAACATTTCACACCTCCAAGAAACACATTGATGTGGCATATACAAAAAGAATGCTGAATGATGCAATAATACATATTTAAAAAATAAAAGAAACAAATGTCAATTATTCAAAATGAAAATAGCACTTGATACTACACTCTGGGTGCACTACTTTTGAAGCAGTTCTTCCAATCAATTAATGAGAAAAAGTTAATATAAGTTGCAGGTGGAGACAAGCTCTCCAAAGTTTATTAATTTTGATTTTCCAGGTAATGTCTTTGCAGTGTTGTTCTTTCCTCATTTAGCACTGAAATAATTTTGGTGTTAGTAGATAAATTTGTCCAGAGATGTGGCTTTTCTCTTTTCCAGGTCACGGTCCCGCTGTAACACCAGCAGTGGCAGCGAATCCGAAAATTCCCACAGAGAGCATCGGAAGAAGAGAAACAGGTGACAATAAATTACATGTTTTAGACAGGGGAACATGAAACACAGGCAAATGGAGATGGGAGTTTTTTCAGATGAACCTAGTAAGAAGGGATGTCTCACTATATTAGGAATGGCAAGAAGTACAACACAGACTCTCTTGTGTGCTGTACAAGAGAGCGAGGTTTATTATTCCAGATCTTCTTTTATAGACAGGTCCGAAAAGGTCTGAGAGGTAAAACTCTTATTGGTCATTAAACCAACACATCACTATCATTGGTCAACTGGAACACCACCCCTTGACTGCTTCTTGCATGTAAACAACAAGGATTTAAACAACACCTGCAAAAGGCTGTCCTTCTCCAAGGATTGTTTGTATCCCTCCTTGTGCTTTCTCAGGCCAGAGTGACTTAGTTTCACACAGGCACTGTGCCTCTTGCCTGCTTTCAGCATCCATAAAGGGATCTAACATATTTTATGTGTATAGAGTCCTCCTGAGGCAGCTTAAGACCCTTTTCTGAATAAGACGAGCTAATTGCCAGAATACATCATTATAGTTGGATGCAATGAATGCCTGCCCTCCTGTTGCTTGGGAAGAGCTCAGCAATGAGCTACAAGATCAAGTACAGGGCACACTTACAAAAGACTTGCAGTATAAATGCAAATTAAGTGGATAATATCTTGATAATGATATTCTCAGCATTCACTTTTACCTCACAAATTCAAGTACAGATTTTTTCAAGCAGAAAATAAGCTGTTGAGAAGTGAAAATATTTTTATTGGATATGAATCTCAATGTTGTTTTTAAAATAATGTATTGAATTGTATAAAGATTTTGTTTTCCAAAATGTCAGGTGTGGGCCCAAACCCAAAATGTGTACAGCATCAAGTTTTAATAGGACAGCAATAGTTCATACCAAGTGATGCTAACGAGTTCTGTATTATATATTATATCTTTCTTATTGCAGGTATGAAAAAGATAGCATAACTACTGATTTCCTATAAATTCCCTTCAAAGCTCTTTATTTTATGTTGTGCTGGGGATAACAACATCGTAGAGGTATTTCTGAAAATACTCTTTTTAAAAGCACGTAGAATTTTCTCGTATTGCATAAACATGGTGCAAGAGAAATGTAACTAGATAAAAGAGGAACTGTTTAAAGGCAAAGTTTCTAAGTTACTGTCTGAATGAGCTGCCATCATTTCTTCATGTCTTATATGCAGTGATAAATGATTTCCAGATCTCTGGAAGCTCTTAGAAATAATTGCACGCTAGATAGTGCTGCAGGAGTATGCAGTATAATTACATTTTCAGCATGACTTGCATTAGTTAAAGAAATGTTAAAAAGTCATTGTGACACTCACATGGGATGGCATAAAGCACATCTGAGACATAAGATTTCTTTGAAGCTTACCTAAATTAAAGCACAGTCTTGTAAGGTACTTGGCAAACAATAACCTAGTGTGCATGGAAGGCTTGTTTTCCAGCTGAAGTTTAAATGACATGCTCAGTGTAGTTTCAGTGATGAACAGTAAATGGTATTTTGTATCCCTTTCTCCCAGAACACTCTTGCCAGGTTCTTTTCTGCCTGTGAAACTCCTTGTGCAGGGAGCTCCACAAGCAAGTGAAAGAAATTAGAGACTGACCACAAGAATGTTTTTAAGAACTCCTGGCAATATAGAGACTGAATTGTAAGGAGGATTAAGTACTGCTTATCATTTTTTGAAGAATGAAAGGGCCTTTACCAACCCTTCCTGACTTCATGTGAAAAAAAATTAAAGATAAAAATAAAAAAAACCCCAATTTTTGGGGGCTGTTTCTAAGTTTTCCCACGTTTTCAGAAATGTAAGATACAGCAAAAATGTTAATGTTTCAGTATCTCTTGTTCTTAGGTGATCACTTGAAATCCAACCAGATAAAAAAACATTACCAGTTAGATTAAACAAATACTAAATGAGATGGAAGTCTAAGACTTGTTCTTTGTGAGCAGGTGAAGGAAAACAACCAGTCATAATGAATTTCTGCATTTTGTTAGCAGCCACAGCAGGAACATAACAAGCTGAAAGGTGAGAGGCACTGAGTAGCTTTCCTGTTTTCAGAGATGAGCCAGACCTAGCAGGATTAAATAGGACATTATAATGAGGCTTGCAACTGCTATTACTCAAGTTGCTGCTGTTGCATAGACTAACACAATTTATTTTTCAGTACAATAATTAGGTACTTGACACAAGCAGAAACAAAATTGTTTTATTTTATTGAAATAAAATAAGTGAATGTTCACATTAACCAAAGAAATCTGTTTCTGGTCATAGTAGAGTGGAATATATTGTTCACATGACAAGAGATCACTATGAACTATTTTCCAGAAGAAAACAAATTATCGGAGAAAACCAGAAATGTAGATGAGAGCTTCTGAAGGTAGAACACTAGAAAAATCTTAGGGAAAACCTGTTTACCTGATTTCAATCTTTGAGGTTTCACTCCATTATATGAATGTTTTTTCCAAGGCAGATGTTCATATGAAAATGAAGAAGAACTGTGATGAGCATATTTCAATCACAGAAATGCATTTGCATTTTCAATCATGTGGCCAAAATTTATTGTGTAGATAAACATATATTAAAGGAGTAGACAATGTGTACTGAGGCATAGTTTCCTTCCTGACTACACTTGGCAGATGCATCTGATTAGAATCAGAGAGGGACTGAAGAGGCTGGCAGGGACCTCTGGGTGCCACCTGGTCCAGCCACTGCTCCAGCAGGGCCACCAAGGTCCAGGTGTCCAGGACGATTCCCATGCAGCTTTTCAGTATCTCCAAGGATGGAGACACTGCCACCACCTCTCTGGGCAGCTCAGTGAAAAGAATGAAAGGAAAGCTATAATGAGTTTTCAGTACCAGGGCAAGTTTTTATTCAAAAGTATCTTTAAATAGAAATTCAGGATTTGAGCTAAACTTCTTGCAGCTTTTTTAAAATTATTATTATTTTGTCATTTCTGTCACCAAAAAGCTAAAAAAATTGACCCAAAATTATTAGAATTTGAACATTGCATTCAAATAATGTATTTCATGTAGAGATTGTGGTACCTTGGCCATCTTTAACCTTGTTAAGTGTCAGCATACTACCTTCCTTTGCAGCTGCAAAATGTATGTTTTGTTTCTTCATGTCTCCATCTAGTAGAGTTCTGCTGTGGTGTGACAGTACTTTGAGTGCTGACACTGCTTGTTTGCTGTGATGCAAACTATATATTTAGATTTTTGGTATTTGTGTGCAAGTGACTGCCGTGTGTGGGAGGCAGTTGGTGGTGTCTATACCATATGGGATGATTGCTGTTTGCCCAGATTGGATTATTTGGGATGAAAATCACAACTCATTACTTCTTGCTGTGTGAGTACTTCTTCTAAATCCTTAGGTAGAAGTTTATGTTAATGCCTGTCAGCAGATTATAGATTTAAAAAGATTTTCTTAGAAATCAAAACTTGAGGTTGCAGTCTTCTCCAGATGCTTCATACCGTTTGGTAGAGTTGTGGCTGTTTACAGTAGCTGGGGATTGAGCTCAAAATTCACTATGCATGTGAGAGAAGATCTGATTAAAGAAAAAGCAGAAGCCTGCATAGCTGGTTTAGCCTGATACAATTCAAAACTCAAAGAGAAAAGAACATCTGAAGTGAAGAACAGCAACAACATACTTTGCATTGCCTACATCACCTGTGTAATCCTTTTATCTCTGTTGGCTTCTTTGTTTGTTTTACCTGTCAGTCTTCCCCTCTGGTTTCTCCAGTATGCCAGTCCTACCATCCGATCAGACAATCCACATTTGGGTGATATTTTCCAGGGATCTTTTGAAATCCCTGCTGAATTTTAAATTCATTGCTCTGACCAAGCATGTCCATTTGCTCCACCACCATAGCACTCATATGTGCAACCTTGAAACCGTGGGAAGCATCTGTGGAACTTTGGTCAAACACTGCCTGGCTTCCTGGAGGGCTGTGGCGTTGTGGAATTGCTGCAGCCTGCTTACCAATGCACTGAGCTGACAGAATTTGATATTTGTCTCAATCTTTAATGCCTTCAGTTAATGAATTCATGGATTTTAAAGAAGCCAAATTAAAAAAAAAAAGTAGAAATAAAAGGCATAACATGTCATTTATATCCACACCAGCCATGACAGGGACCAAAGCCGCAGGAGACAGTGCAGAAGGAGTGCCATGGAGATCTGCATGCATCCTGAGCTTTGTTGCAGGTTAAGACGAAAGGATGATTCTTCTGAGCAGGGACTTACCAAGGGGATTTTTCCCTGGATCCTAGGAAGGTGCCTACTGCAGTGAAGTACTTGTAAAAGTTGTATTAGAAGAACCTTGCATCACGATATGGGTCTCCCATTTGGTGCAGATGAGTTACAGTGGAAGATGTAAACAGGGAAAAAAAATCCCTGACTTGGGCTGGGAAAAGAATTCAAGTTGTGGGTTTGTCCTTAAAAAGCACAGATTGTTACATTTTTGGCTCATGCTGTTTCTAAATAACAAATCAGCAAGTGAGGATTGCAACAAGCAAGTTTTCTTTTATATGGTTCTTACAATTTAATGTAGGTTTTGGGAGCATTAGTTAAAATTTAACAAGATGATAGGTAAAGTACAGCATTGCAGGAGCTAGATTATTTATTTATTTGTGGTCGGGGGAATACCCCATTGCTTCTCAGAGCATCCTGCCCTCAGCACCCTCAGACTAAACTCTGGGTACGTCTTTCTCAGATTACGGCAGGAGAATGACATGGTTGACTCGGCTCCTCAGTGGGAAGCTGTGCTGCGGCGGCAGAAGGGGAAAACCCAGGCGGATCCAAACTACCGGCGATCCAGGCACAGATCTCGATCGTATGTAACCCTTGCACCCTTTGATGTGTAAATTAAGGCTGTTGAATCATGTTAAAGAGCAGGAGGAGTATCTTCAGTGCGGTGGTGGCTCTCAGCTGCTGAGGAGCAGAGATTTTCACATGGCATACTCCCACATTAGCAGATTTGTCTTGTGGTCAAACTGCCTTTTTTATTGATTTGAATTTCAGGGCACAAATAATGCAGAGAGGGTAATGAAGCTGCTGAGAAACTCTCTCCATCACCTGGGAAGAAGTCCTGGATGGTTCTGTGGCTCATTCAACAATAGTTCTCTAATTAGTACAGTGATTCCCCTTTTCTGGGCAGCAAGGCTGTGGAAGCTTACTTGATAGCTGTGAACATTTTTAAGAAATAATGCGCACCTGTTTAATCATATAATACCTGCAGTGGTGTTCCAGATGAAAGCAGCTGCTCATGTTTCCATGTCAAATTATCCCTGACAAGCAGCAGTCAGGGATATATTGCATCCTGATGTCAGGATTTCCATGATGAAATGGTACTGCCAGGCACCGCTGTTCCTGCTTACATGAGCCTGTTCTGACACGGTGAAGTCACTGGCTTTTGAAATTAATTTTCTCAAACTAATGGAAATCCTGGTTTCCTTTAAATTATGTTTCCCTTCTAAAATGGCCTGGTTTTGGGGCACAGACACAGTATTTGGTATCACTGAAACCATAGTCAGCATTGAAGTTTCCAGCATTAAAATCCACTTGAGATCTCTTTTCTGTTGTCTGTGTTGCTGGAACTCATTGCTGTCTCCAGTTTTATAGTGCAGAGTTTTATTTCTTTATGAGGAATACAATTTACCTTAAGAGTCCAAATATTGGAGTTTTTACTTTAACAGGCTTTGTACAGACTTGTTCACTTTCAGCTGCACAAAAGTCATGTGTTATTAGGTATTATTGTGCAATGATATATTAGTAAAAATTAGGAATATTAAAGCTCACTTGCATGGAATCTAGAAAGTACAGCTGATTAAATTTGATTTCTGTTTGTTTTATTATATACAGAAAGTACACAATAAACTGTAAACTAGGAAATGTACTCAGTTAATAATAGTTAGATTAAATTTGTAGCCAACTTTTCTTTTTTACCCACGGGCCAGGTAAATCTCTTTGTTTAGACAGCACGGGTTCCCTCTTGTGGTTAACGTAACTTATAAAATGGCTTTGATTTTCCAGCACAGTGACATTCTGAGTTATATTTCATTTAAACTAGTTTTAGCAAAAAGACATAGATGTTAGGCATCTGACTTAAAAAGCAAAGGTCCTAGAGGAAGCAAAGAAATGAGGATGTCCTGAAGATTTTGAAAGACTTCTCATTTCCTTTTGCTATTCTTTCAGTTATTCATGTGTTTCTTCTTTATAATACGCTCCCCAGTTAAAAAAAAAAACAAACACAAAAACAAGCAAACCCACAATGAAATAAGACCAAGTTAATTTTTGAAAAAAATTAGTAAAAGGTATTTAACGGTTAACATGTTGTACATTATAAGAGAATGTATTTCATTTAGTTTGGCTCAGCTGTTGGTTTACTTGACTGGATACAGGTCAAGTAAAAAAGGAAAGAAGAAGAAAAGAAGAAAAGGAAACATAATTCTGTAGGTTATGGTTGTTTTGGTTTTAAATGTTGTCAAATGGTCATTTCAACTTGCCCATTTAAAAATTGGTACAAAATCTTAAATTTAGTAGAACAGGTAATTCTTTCACAGTAAGGGCATTATTGCATTTGTAACTAGAGCTTCCCTTTGGATTTGTGAAATAGTGGCTGAAATGTTTGTTACTGTGACTGGCACAGTGCATTTTATTTGTTTGATAATGAGTAATATTAATCATTTGTGGTGGCAAGTGGTGTCTCCTTGGTCTTGAGAATAAAAGTATTTGACAGGAATTTGACCTTTTTTTTCTCCTCAAGGTATCAGCAAATGCAGAGAGCTCCCAGTTCTAGTTCCACAGGGTTTATTTTCAAGAGCTCATGTAAAACATCTGTGTAGCCAAAGGGCTTTTTCTAGTTAAGAAGAATAGACATAAAATTCCATGGCTATTTAATTTACCATTTGTGACTCAAACTGAAATATTAATAAGGGTGCAGATGAAGGAACAAAAAATAATGTAGACCTTATTAATGTGTAGAGCTGTTCCATCTTGTGCAAACAAAATAAAAAATAAAAATAAAAAAAATATAAAAAATAAACCCCAATGAGATTCATCATTTACTGGGAATTCCCATTAGATTTCTTGTACATTAGAGAAACTGATTAGCATGCAAATTGTCCAGAAGGTACTGATTCAGATACTGAGACAGGACAAACTGAGTCCTATATATCAAAACTGTGAGTTCTAAAAAAATTCACAGTAAAAAAATGAAAACAAAGTAAAAGGGGTATTGTGATCTGGCTTTAAAGATTTAACAGAAGAATTGCTTTGTTGCAGGCTCTTAAGAACCATACACACAATTTCTTATGCAGTATATGCAATACCTACATTCAATCTTACATTTCACTTTTATTTTTGTAAGCTTTCCATCATTTTGCTTTCAAAGGAAGCAGGAACAGGCCTTTGGAAAGAAAATGCCTTAATTAAGTTACTTTATCTGCTTCATATTTCTTTAAATTCTTTGACAGGGAGCTAACCTGAATAAATGCTGTAAGGTTATCTTAGTATGGTAATACTTCTTAAACAGATGGAAAATAACTAATTGCAGGACGTGATGTCTATTTGGTCTGAGGAATCATTGTATTTTGCCCTTTTTTCTTTTTTTCTTTTTTCTTTTTTTTTTTTTCCACATGGGATGCCATGCTGCTAAATTGGTATTGTACAGCAAAGTCTTTATTATTAGTGTAATTGCAGGGATGGAAAGAACAAAAATGGCAGAGACCACACAGCAAAATACCTGGAACTGGTCACAGAAAGTAGGAGGCACAGTTCCTAGAAAGTGGAGAAATTAAGATGTCTTCTTATTTAACCACTGTCTTTCCATGCTGCCCCACAAATTCATATTTCTTACTCTCGGTGAGGTTTCACAGGATGCTCCGTGATACCTGAGACTTAAGGCCAAGTTATGAACTGCTGTATTTTCATGAACAAGTAAAAGCCATGATCTAAAGGGTCAGTGGTGTGCACAGTACCCTGCTTTGTGTGGGCCCTGCTTTGGGGAATGATCTTGGGCCTTTGCCTCCTCGGACAAACTAGGGCTTGTAAGCATGACAAAGCCTCCCTGAAGAAGCTGGCATTTTCCAGGGGTCTTTCACATCCCCCACTGTCTGATTATTCAGCCTCAGAAGAGGATGCCTATCTTTCCAGCCCCAGGGTGAATGCAGGGTTTGCAGCTGCTATTTTGTGAGCAGGAAGCTTCATGGGGGCAGAAATCAGTTCAAAACTGAGGGGTGAAAAAGGCTGTTCAATGCCACTGCATTTACTGCATCAGGTAGTTAAAAGCAGCGTAGACAGACGTAATAGAAGTAAATGCAAGAAGGGAGAAGGAGTGTTAGGAGGATTGCATTTAGCCCTTTTTTTCTCTCTCTCTTTTTTTATTTTATTTTTTTTATTTTTTTTTTATTTTTTATTTTTTTCCCCATGGGATGCCATACTGCTAAATTGGTATTGTACAGCAAAGTCTTTATTATTAGTGTCATTGCAGGGATGGAAAGAGGCAGAGATCACAGAGCAAAATACCTGGAGCTGGTCACAGAGAGCAGGAGGCACAGATAGAAGTGAAAAGCAGAGAAAACAAAATGCATTATAATAAACACATGCGGCTTTAAAAAGCTCTGAACACAGAGAACAAATGGACTGTAAAGCACCTGTGCTGTAGCCATCATGGGAACCTGAGGAGCTAGAAGGACAGCAGTTTGTCAAGGATGGGAATCTTACTACCTGGAAGGCATTGGAGCCTGAGGTGGTTATAGATTAATTAATTTTAGCCCTACTAGGAAAGCACAAATGCTAGGTTGTTTTTCACCCTTTAGTCTTTCTCTGGTGTTTTATAAACTAGTCAAACAGTATCTCCTAGTACTTCTGCTCCAATAAAAGTCTAAAAAGGACCCCAAAACATTACCATCCCAAAATATTCTGCCTTTACATCAGCCGTATAGTGTTGTACTGCGATATAGATTTCTCTGAACATTATTCCTAGGGTGAAGTCTGGAAATAAGCCAGACATGGTAATGGTGAAATAAGAAAGCAGTTAAACTGTTAATGATAGAGAGCAGTTTGGAATTATTTCTAATACATCTCTGTCTCTGGACAGAGATTTAGAGGTGCAAAAATGCAGATCTCTGCTGTCCTTCATCAGCAGCTATATTTGGATTATATCCCTCCTAAAACATCTTTGAATATGACTGGCCTTTTTGTCTAAGAGAAAAAAAGTATCAGGCTGTATGACCTAAAGTGTAAGACTTTGAGAAACTTTGGGTGTATTTATGTGTGCTGTATGTCTCTAAAAGTTGCATCCCTCACATATTAGATGGTGTGGAACAGTCTAGCTGTTGACACTGACCTTATATAACGACAATAAAAAGAGTTACCTAATCTCTCCATGCAAATGTAGTCTGTGACACTGTCTAAAATCTTTACTTGGTCTATTACTCTGAATGGGTTTGGATGAAGTCCAAGTGCAGCTTAAACAACAGCAGCAGTTTTGCACTAACCTTGCAATAGAGAAGGAAAAGTAAAAATAAAGGGGTTCCACTTAGAAATATCTATTCTATGGTTCAGTAGAAAAGGTGAGACATGCCCTTCAGGCTTGCTTTGCTGCATCTCTGTGTCTGCAAGAGGGAGGTTACAACTTTGGGTACATTCTTTGCACCTGAATTAAATACTTGCTAAAATATTTAGGTACATAATTAGGCATAGGTGCTGGTTTGATTAATTTGTTGGTGGCTTTTTTTTTTTTGTGCTGCACACCAAAAAAGAAATAAATTGAGCAGAAATCCTTTTTGGAGATGACCAGAAGTAGAGAAGCTGCACTGTGCTTGCAGTGGAGCCACAGGTCTTTACTGGAGTCCACTGGGAATAGCTGGGATTACTGATCAGTGGCCTGTGGTCTGTCCCTCCTTCTGCCCACCAAGAGCTCTATGGGCCACAGGACATTTCTGAGGGCCTTTTTCAGAAGTGTTATTCCAAAATGTGTTGTTCTTGCAGGGATAAGTGTTAGCAGCAACTGGGCAGTGATTTGGCTTGGGGAATTCTGCTGTTGTTTATATTTTATGCACAGTCTTGCTGAAGGCTGGTGGAACTGGAATTGTGATTGAGAGCCTGTTGTTCAAGAAATGAATTTTCAGTTGAAATGAAGCGATGAGGTTTAATGCATTTTCTGAGATAACAAACCTTAAAATTGAAGTCACTGTTGGATTACATTTATCAAGATTCCTGTGCAGGGTCTGTGTGTTAAAAGTTATTTGAACAGCAACATGTCAGATGATGGCTTTCACAGCTGAGCTTTTACTGCCTTTGTTGCTATTTATAGGAGAAGCCCAGATGTACAAGCTAAAGAAGAACTGTGGAAACATATCCAGTAAGTATGATCTTTGTAGGGTCTGAGAGATGCTTGGGTTGCCTTTAATGTAGTTATAAAATCCTCCCCAGTGTGGCACTACACTGATTTAGTTTCAGTAAATTATGTACATGTTAATGACCTCCTGTGTGTAGAAGATACTGCAGGTCACTGAGTGCACTGAGTAAAGATGACCATTGTGTATAAATTAATTATTAAAGAACAATACATAATTTTAGAGGTTTATTCCTCTGTAGCTTCCAGAATGTCAATATTAATACTTTTAGCATGCCACACCATTACCCCTTAGGAAGATATTTAGCAATTCCAAAGCACACATCATGTTCATGATATTGTGAAGCAACAAGATCAGATTTGCAGGGAGGTGAGAGGAAGGTGGAATGGGATGTGACATGCAGTTGAAGTGATCAAGGTGAAGTTACACTTATTTCAAAATAGGTGTCCTATTTTCATGTCAAGAAAGCTTCAGAGCTGAAAACAGCTTGTTTTAGTAAAACTTTTTAGTCCAATATAATAAAAATTTTTGCACTTCACAGTTACTGTTACATTTTTTTACTTTTCCTAATCCTTTATAGGAAGGAGCTTGTGGATCCATCTGGCCTGTCTGAGGAGCAATTGAAAGAAATTCCATACACTAAAGTAGAGTGAGTTTATGTCAGAATTCTTTTGGGGAATACAGAAGTCCACTTTTCTTACTTTACTGTGAACTCTGTCCTACTGAAAAAGGAATGGGTTTACACATAATCTATAAACTCATATATATTCCAAATATTCCCCTAGGATGGATTGGGTGGGGATACTTAATAATCTTAAAATCAAGTATTTTCCCTTTACAAAATAAGAAGAAAAATCATCTTAATCTGTCCTAATCTCTCCCACACTCTTATGCACCTGTCTGTATATTCTGTATTCCTCCCTATGCTAGCCAAGAATCTTTCTTATGTTATAAACTACAGAATCAGAAAGAAGTGAATGCAAACAAGAAATTTTTTCTTAAACTTTTTCTTTGTTTTAAATATTCTGATCATCCAAGGCACTCTTTGACCTCTGCAATCCTTTCCCTGGCTAGTCATGGGCAGCTGGCAGGGCATAGCTATTTTCTTAAGAACCAACATCCATTTCACTGCAATAATTGCCCATTTGGGATTCCGTGTGTCAGTGCAAGCAGCTGAATGTGGCACAGATGGGATCCTGGGTTGCATAATGTGCTTCCAAACACCACTAGGCAGAAAAGGCTGATGTTAAGGAGGTATAAATTAATGCATTGTTTATTAAAGTTTCATTCTCAAATATGAGTATGCCAGTTTGTGACCTCTGCTCTCCTAAAGCATTGAATTGTAAGTACAGACATCTAAAAAGAAGCATCAGCCCTTTAAATTCAGCCAGTGCAAGAAGCCATCTGTTATACTTTATTAAGAAATGGGAGGACCTCTCTGTCTGCAGCTGAATTTATATTTTGTGCCAAAGATCTGGTTTACCAACCTCCTGTTGTGAATTCTGTCTCTCTTAGGACTCAAGGTGACCCCATCCGCATCCGGCACTCGCACTCCCCTCGCAGCTACCGGCAGTACCGGCGGTCCCAGTGCTCCGATGGGGAGAGATCTGTCCTGTCTGAAGTGAAGTATGTGAACATGGTCATTAGCACTTAACTAGTCTAGTGCAGCCCAAAAGCTGTTTAGAGATCATGGTGGTAAGAAGCAGCGTAAATGTGGCTTGTTCAGGGTTCAGGCAATCCCCTAAATATTATGTCTTCAGAGCTAAACATGAATGAAACAACTCCAAAACCCTTTATAGTCTGTTCTCAGCCACAGTGGCTTTCTTGATCCATTTGGAAGGAGAAAAAACTGAAAAGGCTGAAACAAACCTGTACTGGTCTTCAGTGGCAGGCCATAAAGTTGCTTAGGGGATGAGAATTCATGAGTTGCTTTCGAAATAACTTCATCCTTCACAGATTTAAGATGTTATCTGTGTTAGCTCTGTATTTTGTTTCATGAGAACTCTAGTACATCCCTCTTCATCAATGGTGGATCAGTCTTTCCTAGAAGACTGAAGAGTACTTAGGCATGGAAAAGCAACAGCCCCATTCTCAGTTGCAGCAAGGCCATAAAATATGAAAAGCAGTCCCCACCTGGAAGACTAGTTTTAGCTGGATAGCACCTTGAAGGAGGTTTGGCACACCAGTGATTTCAGGTGAGACTTGTTTTTGCCATGAGAGTGGCGGGGCCCCAGCAGAAGCTTCCCAGGGAACTTGTGGTTGCCCCATCCCTAGAAGAGTTTAAGGCCAGGCTGGATTGAGCTCTGAGCAATCTGGGATAGTGGAAGGTGTCCCTGCCCATGGCAAGAGGTGGAACTGGATGATCTTTAAGGTCTCTCCCAAACCAAAACCATTCTGTGATTCAGTGATGTTGTATCAATTTGAGCTGCTTCCAAAGACCAGGAAAAGACAGGGCTGCCCTGAAGTCAATGCCCTGAAGGTGCCCACAGAGGATCATCATGACAGCTTTCAGATATCCCAAGTAGGGTGATAAAAGCTTGTCATATCTATAGACCAGTCTGTGTCAGTTTCATTGTTCTTCCTCTGCACAGTTATAGTTTATTTCATTAAAGCCATATCCATTTTGTGATATTATAATTCCAGTGTCAAAACTGATCTGGTCCCTCCATTGCCTGTTACACGATCTTCAGATGGGAAAGGTCCCAGCATCCAGCTGACTCAACAGGTTAGTGATTGTACATCCTTTGCAATTTTCCTTTTTATTGGAGGGAGAAGTGGGGCTCTAGTGCTTTGCAGCAGTGTGAATTGAATTTTTGCATTTTACTTAAACTTTCTTTGTATTCCAAAATACATATGGTTCTGAGCATATGCCCCTCTGAACATCTGCTTCTGCTGCTCGAGAACTCTTTCCCAATCTGATGCATCCCTAAGATGCATCTCTGCTCCTCACGGAAAGCAAACTGACTTTTACAACTTCTTGAATTATACAGATGTGGTTGTGATGCAGCTGCAGTCACATAATTTATTCACCTCTTTTAGAGATAGTCTGAAGGGGTTTGTTGCTTGCGCTTGAAACAGTGCTTCTTTTATTTTCCTTTTTCTTTTATTTTTCCCCCCACAAATACTGAATATTTTTTTAGGCTGTTGACATCTAAAAAGGACAGAACTTGCCTTTTGTTAATCTAACTGAATCACTGTCTTTCATGATATATTATACTACCATATCTCTCCATTTCTACAGTTTTATTGAACTCAAAATTTGAGAAGCAAATTTCTATTCAAAAGCACTTTTGTACAAACACACAAAAGGAGAGCCAAAACATAGAAGGGAGAATCCAAGATACCTAAATTACCATACCAGTCATGTAAAAATGTTCAGTGTCTACAAACACCTCTCTTTTCCTTCTGCCCCAGGCTCCCTCACAACAGTGGCCATTAATTCCTTGTGAGTGTTTGCTTGCAGTGTTTTGCTAAATATTAAATAGTTAATCATGACATTTCCTGAATAGACTATATATATATATATATATATGTGTGTGTGTGTATATATATATGTATATGTATATATATATGTATATGTATATGTATATGTATATGTATATGTATATGTATGTATGTATATATGTATATATGTATATATATGTGTGTGTATATATATATATGTATATATAATATATATAAATTGCCATACCCATAGCCTATGGCTTTCATAGTAATAGTTAGCAAAATTCAGTGTTTAAGTTCTGCTGTATCTCTTTAACAACATGTTTAATTTATTCTCTTCAGAGGCAGAATGGATCTAAAGACAGCCTAATAGAAGAATCATCTCTGCTATCCACTAATAATGTTGATGGAAAATCCGCCACTAAGATTGTAAAAACTGTACAGGTGTCATGCTTCAAGGTGGAGACTTGAATGATGAATTGAAGATGGTGAATGGATTTTGGTCTTTGGAAAGTGAGAATTTGTTTGTGTGTGCAGGGGAAGGAAGTGAAGTCGACATGGTGGTCTTTCCTTCAGGACACCTGGCAGTGCAGCCTGCTTGCTGGGAAGACCAAGCAATGGTTTTATCACCACTAGTGGTGTGACTGATTAAGGACAAGCTGCCTGATAGACAACCAAAAACAAAAGTATTTGCAAAACTGAAAGATCAGAAATTACATTTCCAAAAACAATGACAAAAAAAAAAAAATTGATGCAACAAAACAGGCTTCATGGTCTACCCTGTAACTGAATAGCTTTGCTCCCAGAAGTGACTGTTAACTGACATGATCAGGACCAGATGCTTCGAGATAAGTAAAATAGTCATATTTTTTGTCAATTGTGCAATACAGTGTGACATGGGGAAATTATCTTTACAATTTATATGGGGATCAACTTATGTCCTGAGACATAAGGACAGATAGCTCTTACAAGGGTTATTTTAGCCTAGCACAATAACACACACTGGTGTTGTTGATACAAATTCTGACTCAACCCACTTTAGCTCAAAAATAATAGACTCCATAACATACTGTAGCAGTGAGTTCCAGAGGTGATACAGACTTACTTTGCCTTGGGCAGGTTTAAGTGCTCTAAATTTTGAATGTCCTTTTATGTAGAGGGACTATGTAAATGAACATTCCATATCACAGAAACACATTTACCAAGTTGTAGTAAAACACACTGGAGACTGGGGAACCCACTGTGTTGAGGCCTACTGAGTCTTAAATTACTTAAGTTAATCCACTTAACCCACTGTGTTAAGACTGCTTAGCAAGGCACGTCAGTGCTGGTTAAATGAAACTTGTGGAGTAGTATTTAAGACAGCTAGAAAATAGCTTTTTTATTATTATTATTTTTTAAACTAGATTAGCAAAATCAGTCTTAATATCTCATATAAAATAATCTGACACTTTTCTCTGAGCCATTTTTAGTATGTTAAAATGACAAAGGCAGTATTTCAGGAATGGTAACTATAATTTTTTTTTTATTGTCATGGTAGGAATACTAAGTTTCAATGATGCTGCACATTGAGTGGGTTATCTTCTAATATATATCTGAAGTAATGCCTTGCTCTCCTATCACCTACAAATATCTGAAAGTCACTTCTCTGCCTCTCATTTGTCCACAGGCAGCACATGGATGAGCCTTCAGGTGTTGCTGACTCGCTAGGGAGCTTAGCAAAGTCTTTGTGTTGTGGAAGTAATTTTTGCTAAGTGTAATCATTTAACTAAATATTGGATTTGTCAAACAGTGTAGTAAACACCTGTAGCAGCTCACGTGCCTTTCTACATCTATCCCCTCAACACTCAACCCCCACAACCCACAGAGATTTGCAGTGATCCTGTCCGAGCAGCACCAGGGAATTGCAGCCTTGTCAGAAAAGAAACGCTGCTTGAGAACTGCAGTTAGCATAAGGTGTCTCAGTTACACTTTACAGGAGGCATGGGATTGCCAATACACATTTTAACTGACTAAACTGGTAAGCAAAATGTTGTATGATATGTTTTATTTTCCACTTAACTTTTTGATACTTCATTGCTTCATGATCTGAGATGGTCAGGTGGATGTTATTAGCCAGGGCAGCAGCCATACAGTTTGTATATTCCTATCACAGTATGGCGTGGTCTCTTGGTTGGGAAGTGCTGCATCCTTCCAGGGAAGGCAGATTCACTTAAAAAATACTTTTCTTTGGTCATTTACTTAGGACAGCTCTGCTTCTACAGTCTCAGTGAACAAATCTAAGGGAAGGAAAGAGTAAGAACCCCTCTGTAGTAAAAATTCAGTTTTCATGGAGGTTCTTCAGAATTTTTTGAATTTACTATGGATTTATTTCTAGGACATTGTTGGGCTTGGCTTAAAGTATTTGCTTAATTTTGTAAGTTTGTTAAATGGTTTCATTGTGATTACTCCAATTTAAAGTGATTCTTTAGGATCTATCTATGACCTCGTGTAGTGCTGTCATAAACAACATTTTAAAAAGCCAAAGAGAAAGCCAAAAAAAAAAAATCCAAACCCAAAGTACAGCAAAAAAACCCAACTAACCCCTAGGAAGCAAAAAAAATCTTCTATGGCAAAATGGCTTAATGGAGAGCATCACAATCTTTTGGAAGACATTTGAAAAATGCCAAACTTTACAGTGGTTACAGTATAGAACGGGTTACAGTGTCTGCAATGAAAGCTGCTCCTTGTTCCTTTGAGGTGTTACAACTTGGAGTATTACACACTTGCTGGTGGTTTGCTGCTTTCTAAATCATTACCATTAATTTGCTATCCTTACCCAGGCACAGGTAAGTAGCACAAATCTACTATTACAGGACGATTTGTGTTATTATTTGAAAATTATCTGTACTTAGTGCCAGTCTTTAAATATTGATCAAGAGGGTTTATATCCAGCCTCATGTTATCCTGTATGCTTTCATCTTCCTGTGGCCTTTGTGTGTTATTGCTGAATACCATCAACCAAGTGTGTGGTATTTTACTTATTGCACTACATCAAAAAATAGGCTTCTGCCTCGTCTAATAGTGAAACGTTTCAATTCTCAAGTCACTGGAGAGTTGTTTCATAATTAAGCCAACTTTTTTGTATTTAAATGAGAAATTTATGGAGCAAGCCCTGGATTTGAGTTAGTGGTCTTCTCCCTGATGGGTCTATGCAGGAAGCAGGATTTTAGCAAGTCTGGTGTTAGCCTGGGCCACTGCAATCCAGTTTTGTGTCCACAAAAGGCTAAAGATGCAATGCCTCCATTACACATTTTCCAAATGTTTTGCTGTGCCAAAACAAGGCAAAACTGGCAACAAGGACGTCACTGTCAGCTAATAGTACAGAAAAGCAAATTCTTTTCATATATGTGATACTACTTTCCCTTCAAGCTTCTTCTCAGTCTTTTGAGGAAAAGCACATTTTTTTATTAACTTTTTATTTTTGTGAGAGATACACACAAGTGATTAATCACTGAAAGCACTTACTGTGTCACAGCTATGCCTTCTAGACCTAAACCAGCCCTACATGTCCAAGTGACCTGCCTCAGTCTGAACTACAGCTTGCCCTCTCCACTGTTGCTACCCTTCTCCAGCTCTCCTGGGGCATTCACTGCCTAGAGGCAGTTGCATTTTCAGATCTGGAGTCTGGATGTCAGTCTAAAATACCTGTACATCCTGATGAGTCAGGCAAAGGACTTGAGATGCATAAGAGTGTCAGGAAGTTTACCCTGGGGCTGAATGCCATACAGACTGGTGCTCACCTGGACAAAGGACTGGTATTTGAGGCATCCTCATCATAATTCTCCTGAACTGATCTCAGGCCAACGATTTTGACTTTGTGCCTCTGCCTTTACCTCTTCTGAGACTTCCACAAGTGCTAAGCATTGGTAAGTTCTAGAACTCTCACTAATTAGCAACAATTACAACATAGTTGTACAACCTTTTGCAAAACATGTATTTTGTACAATCAAGAGGGCTTACTAACCATAGCACAAACACATTCTTGTATATCCTGTACTAGTTCCCTTGCTTAGTTGGCTGGTTTCTTTCATTAGGGACTAGCCTTGACCTGCTGTTTTCTACACTGCATCTCTTACCAGTATCACTAGCACTGCAACTTGTATTCTAATCAAGCTCATGATACCGATGGTGTTTGTTGAAAAGTCATTACCACTTAAGTTGCCAAATTCATTCCCTTTATATAGGTGGATATTGAACTGAAGAGATAGCATGTTTTCTTTTGGGAAGATTTGTTTACTTCAAAATTGCCTAGAAAGGTGTTTGAAGACAACATACATGAACATACCAATGTGATACATTTGTTCCATGTGCTTTAGGTATTCATGAAACAACTGTGTGGTCTATTTTAAAATGAGATTGATAGATGGCTGTGTCAATACTTGTGTCCAGGTTATTTAAAAGTCAAGTAAAATTTGAATTTTTAGGGCGTTGCATGGTTGCCTGTGTCTTATTTACATTACACAGAGGAGCAAAGCCCTCAGAAACACAGATTCATTTGACACCACCATCTGGTAAAAACAGGTGTAGTACCAATTAAAATCCACTTGAGGATACAGCTTCTCCAGATTAAGTATTTTATCTTGTAGCAGGAAGTTGTCAGTGTAAGCTTTGCATTTCCAGCGTCCATCTATGCCAGTTTACTTTCTTACCTAAAAATCACCAGAGAGCAACACAGACTATGTAAGCTGTCAAACCAAACACACAAATACAGAGCCAGTGTGGCAGACACTCTCTCCTCAATGTGTCTGTTTTTATTCCTGTATTTGTTTTCCTAAGTTAGAGCTGTGGTGTGTTGACCTTGGCTGGACACCAGGTGCCCACCAAGCTGTTCTATCACTCCCCTCCTTAACAGGATGGGGGAGGGAATTAAATGGAAAAAATCCTTGTAGGTCAAGATAAAAGAGTTTAATAAAGCAGAAGCAAAAGCAAAAAAATCCAAACTCCAAAAGATTTACTCTTCTACTTCCCAGGAGCATGTGGTGTCCCCCCCAGTTCCTGCAAAGTAGGGCTTCAGTACATTCAGCAGGTTACAGAATGCAAATTCCTTAGCCTTTTTCTTCAGTTTTTATAAGCTGAAGCAGAGCAGATTCTTATAGTCTGTTTTTTTTTTCAAGGGTGCAATTCAGTCACACAAAGTAATAGGCAGTCCTAACGTTTAACATTGTCCTTCACATTTACCAGCATTATTATTTAAGTAATCTGTGACCCTTGCACCCACCTATTGCTCACTCTACCTCACTTTTCCCTTATTCTACCCCACTATAACACCTGTATTACACATTAAAGCTTGGGGTTCTAAATTTTTTCTAGACAAAATTTAATTAATATTTTAGATACTAATCATCAAATCCTGGCAGTAGCTGTTGCTCTTGAGATTTTTTCCAAAGTTTTAAAAAGCTACTCCTGTTGATTTTTCACTTCAAGAATGAAGGCCCATGAGCAGAAATCCTGAACAGATGGTATCTTCAGGGAATGCAATTCCTAATAAAAATCCTAAACTTTCAAGTACATCCCATAATTACATGCTGGATCACTAAAAATTAATTACTCTTGTATCAGTGATTGAGAGATGGGGACGTCAGAATCGAGATCAGAAGCCAATTTTATTGAGTATACAAAGTGTTTATATAGGGTTTTACATGTAGGGCATTTTTACAGGGTTCTATTTTCAGTGACAGTTTCCCATTGGCTACACATTGGTCATGACATCAGTTACCTGGTAGTCATTACAAAGTTTCACAACATATCTCTTGGTCACTTCTACCCCCAGGAGTAGTTACCTGTGTCTGTCTTTGCCATGGTTTCTGTTTGATTAGCCCTAAGATCCTAGGCTCCTTTACCAGTTCCACTGTGCTGTTTTATTTCCCATACTCTTGTCTAAACCTCCTTCTCTGTTGACAAATGAAAAACGAAGAATTAGTAATGTGCTTGTCACAGCAGGCGGCAATGTGACACCAAGACCGGTCCGGCTGGGGAGCTGCGTGGTGAAAATAGAGGGACAGGAACAACAAGAATGAAGCAGGAAACAAAGGAACTTTAGTCATGGTTAAAATAAAAAAGGAAGAATTTGCACGGTACAAAGGTTGAAACCTCAAAGGCAACCTCAGGGATCGATCCTCAAAGACCTGGGAATAAGGAGGGTAGAACAATATGTAGGTTATATGTAGGTTACATGTAGGTTAAATATATGGGGTTAAGGGTGCAGGATCCAATCAGTAACAAGGATAAGAAACATAACTATATTTGTAAAAAACTGATTAACATACTAACTCCATGAGGAAACTTTCTCTCCTCTTGC